ATGGGGATGGAACATGATGGAACCATCAAACATCTTGATTTGTTAAGGCCACGCCAATGTCCAGAGCGGATTCATTAGAGGTTATCACTGTTATCGCTGACATTTTGCCACTCGTTTGCCCTGCAGTTGTGTGGTTTCCAAGAAAAACGAGTGACGCACTGCGTTCATTCATTGGATTCATGCTTACACAAGAATCATGCTCTCCACACACGCACTGTCTGTTTTTGGCATAAGAGGTGCCCATGGAGGGTGGAGACGTGCATATTGTAGAAACGGTATTTTTTCGCCTTCTCTTTTCTAGAGAGAGTAATATGTGATGTATTTATGTATATATAATATGGACAAGGTGTTCACTGATTTTTGTTGCTGCAAAGTGGAAACCAGAACTGCCCTTGAATGCAGTCAATTCTCAAGCGAATATGGGAGTGGTTCAAAGAACAGAATCTATTCAGTTCATCTTTTTGGGTCCTTGGTCATCTTGATCCTTCCAACTTTATTCCCCGGGAGGCCTTTGACGAATTTGCCACTGGCTTGGGGTTAAAGCCCTTGGAGAAGAGACGACTTGAGAAGGCCGTGCCACGTGCAGGTTTCTCATTGGGGACTCGAAAAACGTGTTGGAAAGAAATGCCGTCCTTTCATTTTTGTTTCAAGTTTTGAGCACTTTAAACTCTGAGGAATTGGAACGGATGTCAAGACTCATAATCTTCACATGGACCATGAGCAGGCGGTGAACGGAGCCATTGAAAGATATGGCGGTGGCGCTCCGAAGGACAAAGATCCAGCCAAGGCAGAAACTGGTCATTTCATTCGCAGTTTTAGGCTAATGATTTTGGTGGAACCTCCATGTTTGAACCCACGGATACCCACGGGTTAGAAAAAAAACTGGGGCTAAAAAAATCTGGTGCAGCTGAAATGAACATGCTTCTGGTCAACCTCCGGATGCTTGAGCAAACCTCAGGTGGTTCTTCCAAGCGCAAACTACTAGTAGAAGATTACAGCAATTGGGGTTGTGTGTTGTTTGTTTTTTTTTTTTGTGTGTGTGTGTGTGTCCGCAAAGGGGAACCCCGAATCCACCAGTTTCCCAATTGAAACAGATGGATAGACCGTGAACTGTTGGACATACTCGTTTCAGGAGGCTTCCATCGCACGAGCAGACTCTACGCAGGCCCCGCAGGCCCTGAAAGCCACTTCCATTTGGGAACACCAGGGTTTCCGTGCGTTTGCTGTTCAAATTTGAGCTGACTTTTTGTAAAGTCAAACATTTCCAATATATCCAGGAGGAAAAGCCTTGTCCTTCTGGTCCTGCTTTGACATTTGAGAAGATGACAGTACGACCACTATCCGTGGACACGTTTGCAGGAAGCGGTAGCAGCCACTGCGGAGAAGAAAGATGAACCTGCAGGCACGAGTTGGAAGCTGAGCTTGCCCAAATGGGGACAGATGACAGATTCTTGTTCACGACTAAGTTGCCAAGAAGGATCGAACTGTGATTCAACCCAGTAGTTGAAATCATTGACCATCCTGCGATCAGCGAATACCTTTAGTATCTTGAGTCATTCAACATGCTCCGATGCGGAGTTATGGTCAACAAGTGATATGTGCCCCTGACCCATACCATGGTTCCGTTCTTGTTTATCTTTCATCCTGCCGCAGACAATGTGCCAAGCAAAGATGCACCGGAGACGGCGAAGGAGGCAGAACATCAGATGGTTCGATGCCACGCTGCCACACATAGATGAGGCAAAAATCCTGGTTAGAAAAGTGCAGGCTCCGAGCGAAGCCCCCAAGGAAGAAGCACCGAAAGAGGCAGTGGTGGAGGACTCACGGCCTAGAGGAGGTGAATTACTGTTACGATACATGTTTCACACTGTTTCGACCAACAACAGAATTTATATATATATATATATGTATATTTATATATACGCGAGGGGACTGAGGTTCTCCGATGCCATCAGCTGTGTTTGAGTGTCAACATGTAAAAAAACAGCTGGCGCCTAGGTAATTTGCCAATTTTTCAATAGTGGCAACGTCCTTTTCAGCATCATGTTGAACGGATCAATTTTTTTTCGTCCGTTTTAAAGCAGAATCATCTTGTGCCATAAATCATGTTCTCAGAAGTCAGAAATCGCATATTTTGGTGTAAAACTGAATTTTCATCGTATAGTCATGGCGTGGTCATGTAAAATTGAGCAAATGTACTGTGTTTTCTCAGGCATTTTGCGTCATGCTACTTTTGCACTGTTATTTGCAATGAAGTGGCAATGTGTAGAAAATTGCAAGTGCTGACAGTCAGGCGATTTTTGTGTTTTCATTCTATATAGTACACTGTGAACACTGAATGTTTAGTCAGCAGCACGCACGCAACAACGGTGAAACGTTTTTTTTCACTTTTCCCACGGAGCTTCGAGGAAGGCCCGCGATGGAGCCACTAGGCCAGAAGCATCAATATATACATCAAATATGTATATATACATCATATACCCGAGAGGCCGCATGCGTAGCATCAACGTAACATGAACATGACGGTAACATGCCCCACCCCACCCCACCCCACCCCTCCCATCAACGTAGCATCAACGTAACATGAACATGACGGTAACATGCCCCACCCCACCCCACCCTCCCATCAACGTAGCATCAACGTCAACGTAACATGAACATGACGTTAACATGCAACCCACCCCACCCCACCCCACCCCACCGCTTCTCCATCGGAGAACCCCAGGCCCCTCGGGTATATATATATATATTATATAATTATATGTATACATACAGATTATATGTAGAGACATAGTGACTCAACAGGATTCATTGTTGGAAAGAGTTCTACGGCAGGAGCAAACGGTGGAGGAAAGTGCCAGGCCGATCGGGTGAGGTGTCTCAGTCACCTCAGCTGTTTGAAGGGGACCTCGAGCCCACACAAATAGCTCCGCAGTTGTGACCAGTCACTGCATGTGATTTTGCCAGCAGGAGGAGATTTCTCTACCAAAAAAAACTGTAAGAGTTTGTGGTGTTATGGCACTCTGCAGCCATTATTGAAGGATGGCTCAATCTGCGCTGCATATGAAGTCTCAAATGTGCAGCTCAAAAAGTTGAAACACACATGCCCCTTGGAGAGGTTCGGACTTCTATAATTGCGCAGTCCGGAGGTTACCGGATTTTGTTGATGGTTCCCCCCATGCTTCGACTAGCTGCTTCAATGCGGATTCCCCTCTTCCATCAAGGGAATCCACTCCTGAATTGTTATGGTGTTCATTGGTGTTCCAACTGATACAGCACCTATTGTGGAAGCATGGCAATGCCATGGGTGTGCGTGCCTCGCACTATGCTAGCTTGCCCTGCGCTGACCCGGAGGACAGCATGGCAACCTTTGGATCTAAGGAGGCCAACATCCTTTCTGTCATGGACATAATCGACATGTTCCAATAAAATTTGGCCACCCGAAATCTACCATCAACATCCCAAAATGATCCAACATGTCATTTTCAGGTTATTTAGTGATTTAGTGAGTGGAAACCATCCTGCTTGGCTGCTTGGTGTCTATTTGTGAGCGACTCATGCTACGAGCCTAGCTACACCAGGAGTCGCAGCGCAGCTGGAGCGAGCCTACCAGCGACCAAGAGGAGCAATATATACCCCACATGGGTCACAATTTTGGGCGCATACTTGGACCACAAAACGCGTGTTTTTCATGTTGCTACTTATTCTGGTAGCAAACCCTTTCATTTTTTTGGATTATGTTGTTTTGACCCACATCCATGAACCACATCTCTGGGTGGGGATGAGAGTTCCTGTGATGGGTCGAACTTGGATAGCCCCAGCAGATTTCCATGTGCAATTTCTATTTGGAATGATGCTCCCCAATGCTGTACTTGGCTCGCAACCATCAAGAGGGTTCAACCATGTTCAACCACAAACCAGTTGACATTTCCAGAAATCCGACAGAAATCTCCGCAGGAGTCTGACGACTTGGCATGGCAAATCTCCAAGTTCGCAGTGCTCGGCATCTGCGCGGTGTGTTATGCCTTTGGCCTCACGCAGGAGGGTTTTTTGTGGCTGTTTTGATTTTTGTCCAGGTCATGATGGTCATGGATCAGTTACTCATGGATCACTATGATCATTGATATTCGGAACCTCAAACATCATTGATCAGATAATCCTTTTTCCGATGACCTCCTTTTGACAATTTCCAAATCCTCAGATCTCACTCGCCATCAGAAGGTGACTGGTTGCGTTTCCCCGAGCCCGGTGCATCAGGCCTTGTTCATTGTGGAGCCACCTTTCTACAGCACACGGCAGCCACCGGTGCAAAGATCCAATCTGGAACTCATCAGCTTCTTGTGCGCGGGGCTACCCACCGATTTTTTGATAACACCCTCCCGTAATGAAACGTGGCAATGGAATATCCCCCTATGAATGGAGGTTCTAATGGGAAAATAACAAGTATAAATGGTGGACTTTCCATTGCCATGTTGGGTATTGGCAATACATGGCAAAGAAAATTCAGCTTTGGGGTGAATGTTGGCTCGTGGTTGCCGGAAGTTTGGACACATCCGCAAAGGTACAAGCAGGGCATGCCAACTGCATCTGTAGCGGCTGCTTGACTGAACAGCTGTGACCGGCACAATGATCGCAAATGGCCATGGCAAGAAAATGTCGGGCGTTTTTGGCCTGTTGGGACATTCATCCAAGGTTCTGGTTTTTGCAGTTCTTCTCCCGAGCTTGAAGTTTGGCATGACCATCATCTTGCTGTTGCAGCCAAAGCAGCTGTCAAGACAACAGCTTCAGCGACTTTGCAATTGTCTCAGCTTCATCTCTCCATATCAGATGTGCGACATCTTCCTGGTGATGTTGATGCTCTCCTACTTGAACATTGGCATGTCCTTTGAGGGCAGCACCTACCGATGTGAGCTGTGCCAGGGCTTCACCAGCTTCTTCATCTACTGTGTGGCTTCTATCATCATGGCTCAGATGCTTCAGCTGGAGCTGAAAGAGGATCCTGGTGGGGGTCCCCCTGCTGAAACCTTCAGCGCGCGTGAGCTGTCTGTTCGAAGCACTCCACGGCTGGCAGTCGGCCCAATGGGCCCAATGGGCCCGGTGGGCCCGACACCAAAGCCTGAGCCAAGCGATGTAGGAAGGCTGATGCTATGTGGAGGCACCTGGCTACTCTGCACGATCCTGACGTTATTGGTGCCCTTGGCGCCACTTTCCTTGCAAGCACGGGCTGGCGGCTTCATCCTCTACAGACAGGATCCCACGTTCCTGGAACTTTTTGGCAGTTTGCTCTCTCAAAGCCCTTTCTTCGCCTATTTAGAGGCGGGTGGCTGAGAGGTATCAGGAACGTGCACCGGGAATGGAATCGAAATCTTTCAACTAGTGACTAGTGTGAGTGAAATGCTGTGCTTGATCTTTGCATGAAACTTCATGAAAGGGTGCATGAAAGGATGGCATTTCTTCACATTAGATGCAGAGTTAGTTCGCTCCCGCAGACTCTTGAGGTGGCAGTTGTGGTGGTGGCGCCTGCCTGCGCCCTGCTCTCAGGGCTTCTGGAAACGAAGCTGGCCCTACCAAGCGCAGTGCGAAGCTTTGAGAAGTATGTGCTGCAGCCTCTGACCATGGGAGACGTTGCAGCAGTGGCGCTTTGCTGCCTCTACCTGTCAATCCAGGACTGAAAGGAGAGGGAAGATTGGGGAAGGGCTAAAGCAACTCTTAAGAATTGCAATGGACATAAGTATTTTATTGGTTTGATTTATTGGGCATTTCGGAAGATGCCATTGTTTTCGCAATCACTTTTGAGGATTTACTTGGGTTTCAGATTTCCATTCAACCCATCCTAAGCCTCAGGAACCCTGGAGCAACTTCGTCCGCCTTTGTGTGCGCCTTCCTTCGTGGCCCTTGACATTCTTCGTATTTCTGGCAGCAGGCCCCAAAATGCATGGTTTATACAGTGGAAAATCCGATCAAAATGGATGATTTAGGGGTACCCGCATTTTAGGACACCTCCCGACAGGTATGGAACTTTAATCTTTACGACCCTTGATATTGGAAGCGCTGCAGGTGTGTCCTGCGCCAAGCTGCGTCACAACGCGCGCTGGCCACTTTGGGTGGAAGTCATTACATGGACTACCTTTCTGATGCTGTGCATTGGGCTGTGGGCGTTGGGAGCCTTGGAAGCAGATCTCCAGCACCAGATTTCAATTTCCTGGATTTGGATGAGGGATGATGAGGGAACAATTGGTAGAAAACTATATAGACTTGTATCAGAATCACCGGCCACCGCAAAGACCGTGGTTTCATGATTTTTTTCCTTATATAAACCAATCCAATGAGAAATGGTTTCTATGCACTCAGACTTAGATGCAGTCATTGTGCCGAGGCCCCCGCGAAGCATCAATGGCACTTCGCAGCGTCTCGGAACTGAACCAGGTCTTACAAAAAGACCTACCGGCTTTGAATCATGCGCTTCTCCATCAACTGCCATCCTCTTTGGGAAATTGCCAGGATCAGATTTGTGGGAGAAGGGTGAACCTTGCAATTGAAACTTGTCCATGAACATGCGCTTGTAATGATCACATTGTAATGCCTTGTTGGTGAATGTTGGTGTTGGTGATACTGGGTGATACTGATGCTTGGGTTCATGACTGACTGTGGCCAACAGGAATCTGGTCTGAGGTCGTCCCAGCAACATATTAAGCCCATCACGGCCAGTGTCGCAGGAGCTTGAGCGGATGGCTTTCACAAGAGGCTGTCAAAACAAGGAACTGCCGGTATTTGAAGTGACCTTTGGCCGCAGGGATATGTCAAACTGGTCGTTGTGTCAAAAATAGCACTGGGAATCCATGTCCACAGGATTTTACGCTCTTCTGTCACAATGGTCCATTTGGATCATTTATGGATATTTATGGCTCCCAAATCTTGTTCAAGATCTGGTCAGGTACCAAAGTTGCAGTGCATTGGATTTCGCAGACTGACCCTTCCAGCCGAAACGTAAGCAAAGTCTCTGGCCGATTGTTTGAATCCTGTGGTAGGAAGTTTGACAGAAACCTATGTATCCTACTGAGACAAGTCAGCATGTACTTTGTTCTCTCGTTTTCCTGGCCTCTCAAAAGCAAGTTGACCCTGAGGCCAATGCTGGAGATCCGCTGCAACTTCACTTGGGTAAAGGGCATACACACAATGAACATTGAACAGGCGCGACTCTTTCAATGCACCACAGAGGAGAAGATTTGCATGAACTGCTGTTGTGTGACTTTTCCCACTTTTGATCTACACGCGCACGCACACAACATATATATATATATACATATGTACGTGTATATATATATATATAGATGGAATTGCATCATAGAGGCATGTCTGATAATCGACAGTTCCAGCTACTTCCCCATGGATAGTTGGATAGCTAACATAATCCAGCACTTTGCCAGGCAACAATCAGTGAGAGGCGCAACAGCAGCTCAGAGACGCTTGTCTGGTTTGTATGTTTCGTTTCACAGTTTACGCGTGCAGTTTTACCTGAAGTGGGTGGAGGACAGATAGATTTCTGGCTGTAGCCACTGCAGTTCAGTCATAGTCATAGCATCTAATGTTTCTTCTACAACACTGTTCTTTCTGTGCCTTTCAGTGTTTGGTTTGAAGATGCGTGTAAGAAGAAGCAGAAACATATACAGATACAGAGATTCAATATATTGATTTTGGGAACAGTCTGGAATGATAACTTAGAGTCATGTCAATTCATCGTTTTTTAAAGCGTGATTCACTTTGAATCCTTTTTGCTGAGGCATAGATGGGCGTTGCTTCTTGCAGGTAGCTTCGATGCTGCTTGACAGCATCGATATATCACCAGTCCTTTAGACTCCTTTCATCCTCTGATTTTTGAGGAAGTTGCATTGTTTTGTCATTTGAGATTGTACAGATCTTAGTAGCAATACATCCAAGTGTGCAGGAAATTTGTTGTGAGCACTCGCAGGATAAGTTAACTTCCCAGTCTATGGAACTCAAGCTCAGGATTTGCAAGTGCATATGCAGGCGTGGCTGAAACCTTTCGACTTGGTTTCCGCGGTGTCCAACGTCTCAACGTCGGACTTTTTCCAATGCATCGCCACAAAAAGGGCCACGTTGGAATCGGGTATCCGATGGGATTCCGATGATATCTGAGATATCTGATGATCAACCAATGGGATTTTGCAGTTTTGAGGCGATGCGATTCAACAGAGCCTTGCTGGAAGGGCAGGTTTGCTGCCCCAAAGGCCTAAAGTGGACACTGCAGGCCGGTGGCGGGTCAGAATTCATAGGGATTTCACAGGGAAATTGATGTGATATAATGGGGATGTGTTGAGACATACAACCAAGATGATATTTGGGTGTGTCTGAAAATGGGAGATTTCACCTTCAAATGGTATGGCAATTTTGGCAGGGGACATGAATGAACATGGTGATCACCAGTGGATGGAACGGGGTATCCGCTTGACAAACCCAATGGGTCAGCCGGGTCTGCTCTTGTTCAGTGGTTCATGAAGTTCATGAAGTTCATGAAGTTCATGATGGGTTGCGAACCATCAGATTTTGTCTCAGGCTTGATGTTTGAATCCTTGCACTGACCTCTTCAGGTTTGTGTTGTGTTTGCCATACCCACTCAGAGCAATGGACCCATGCGATGAGAGGATTTTCTTCGCACGCCAAAATGTTGAACATTTCAGAAGGATGGCGCTGACCAGATATTCTATTTGAATATATTTGAATATATAATCAATATAATTAGAATATAATATATGGTAATCGATCTAAAGGTCCTCGTAAGGAGTTTTAATGAGGAAGCCGTGCGTGTTATGTTGGAAACCCTTGCGAAAGTTTCTTTTTCGAGCTCGCGAAAGAACATTTTTTATTCGCGAAAGTTTCGAGAAAGTTGGATATTATGAATCATTATCGTTGTATACATTGCAGCTTCTTAAGGGCTACCACCTCCTGCCGCCCGGTGTCCGGCAGGAGAAGGGTACCGCACATTTACCTTTCCCTTCATAGGTAGCGGCCAAGCTTCCGAAGGTGAGGCTTCGCCACAGCCAAATACCATGGTCTTGAAGCACATCCTTGCACCTGCCGCTGGTACTGCCTACCGTTGCTTTCTGAAGTCTCAAGAAACAAGCTCCAAATGCAGCAGCCAAGCTTCCAAGAGTGAGGCTTTGCGAGAGCCAAGCACCAAGGCTCCTGGTGTTTGCTTTTCCTCTGATGCGCCCCCTGCTGATGGCTGGGGTCTGCGGATAGGGGTATTTTCGTGAAAGTTCCGTGAAAGTTTTGCGAAGGAGTGGGCGAAAGTCAAAGTGCATTTTGAAGGGAGTGGCCCAGTAAGCCTTGCCAAAAAAATTGCCCAATCAGAAACAACCTGTCCTGAGAAGAGGATTCCGTGATGCTAGCTGCATGTTTACAAGGCTATGAAGAAGTTATCCGTGATGATTTGGTGTGATTTGGCAGATGGTGAGTGAATCTTTATAAGAGGAGTTGTTGCTCAACATGGGTTCCGCGAAAGATAAACATGGAGTTCGCGAAAGATTCGCGAAATATGTTTTTGTTCGCAAAGAATGGCTGTTCCCGGATAAAGGAATTTTGATCAACCATCATATATAATAAGTACAAGCAGAACGATTACCACATTTTGTGGCAAGCGCCAGCAGTGTTTCCGCCCACAGTCAGGTCTCTGCTGAATGCAAACCAGGGCAGATCTTCAGCGGAAATGTTGCCTGGTGATGCTGCAACGGGGTCAGTGGTTTGATCGACGTGCATTATAGTGTACTGTATTGTGTGATTCGTGTGTGTGTGTGTGCTCGCCCCTACAGCTTCACATATTTAAGAAACAGGTGCTCTTTGGGTTTGAGTTGACTCTGAACAAAGTCGCGGCATGCCGAGACCAGATTCGCTTTGTTCGAGCGTAAGCAGCATGGCTAGTTGGTTGTTACAAACTTCTTGCTTTCCAATCTCTTTTTGTCCACATGTGACCACCAACTGAGACCGTACCTGGTGTGCTTAGGTGACTGTCCAAACCTCAGTGATGAAGTGCAGTTTTTTTTTTTTGCGAGGGGAATGTCTGAAGAGCAATCAGAATCACACTGTAGGTCCAAACTCAATATCCTCAAGTGACCAAGAACTACTCGGAGACCAGTCCCAAACAGTCTAGTTCGTTCAAGAACCTGTCACAGATGCTGAATCAGGTGGATTCTTTCAAAACTGGCGACTTGAATGTCATGGCGCTGCACCTTTCAGGCCTGGACCTGAGTTGCGCAGAAGTAGATCATAGTCTGATGGATGCGATCATTGGATCATCACAACTGCATCCACTCTGACCGATTTTGCACGTTTTCTCCAAGACGTACCGAGAGGTGCTTTGCCCGGCCTCACATCCCTGAATCTGGATTTGGGACCTGCAACTAGGTGCGAGACAACCTTTGCATGGTAGCAGGGAAACTGACATGAGTCTTTTCACTACAATGTCGAGCCTTGTCCCTGGGAAAATCTGGATTTTTGAGGCGCCTCCTCCAAAGTTCAAAGGTCCAAAGATCCAATTCAACTGCTGCTAGCTAGATGATGGTCAATGTCAATGTGTGATAGATCACGAGAACAAACGCAAGTTTGGGTTCACAAATCCGAACACAAACACAAACAGAAACGCACAACACACACACACTCACTCCTCTCTTCTCTCTTCTCTCTTCTCTCTTCTCTCTTCTCTCTTCTCTCTTCTCTCTTCTCTCTTCTCTCTTCTCTCTTCTCTCTTCTCTCTTCTCTCCCCTCTCTTCTCTCTTCTCTCCCCTCTCTCTCTTCTCTCTTCTCTCTCCCCTCTCCCTTCTCTCTTCTCTCTTCTCTCTTCTCTCTTCTCTCTTCTCTCTTCTCTCTTCTCCCCCTCTCCCCCTCTCCCCCTCTCCCCCTCCCCCCCTCTCCCCCCTCTCCCCCTCTCCCACCCTCATCCCCCTCCACCCTCCCCCCAAAAAAATGTTTCCACCCGAAATATTAAGGGTGTTTGAAAAACATTTTAAACCAGAAGACTCTGATTTGGATTAGAATACCTATACAAATAGAGCCCAGGCAAGCTGGGTGACATTTCGATGATGTGTATGCCGCGTTCAAATCATCGCAGTTACATTGGTTTCTACTGGTCGCGTGTGTTCAATCTCTGCACAAAGTGGATATTGGAAGTTTCGAGACCGGGAAAAGGCTATAAGGACAAGGGAGAGCCTATATCAACGACGCCTGATCGCCGGGCCGGCACAGCGCTTGACTGCGTCGGCTCTCGAAACCTTTTTTTTTTGACATTTCTTTCGACTCTCAACATCCTTGTCTGGTGCTGCCACTTTCTCTTGATCCGGCTTGCTCCTGACATCTCTGAATCTTGACAGCCCTTCTTGTTGACAGCTCTGAAGCCCGAGACTTGACGCACTCTTCTCTCCTGACTTTTCTGATGTCATCGCTGTCTCTTGAAACCGACGTCTTTTCAGCCGCTTTCCATTGATGTCTCTTTCTCTTGCCATCCTTATCTTTTGGCATCTCTTTTTCTTGAGACTTCTTCTCTCGACACTCTCTTCTCTTCGCATCCCATTCTCTTGACACGGTTTTTGTACTACTTCGTACTACAAATCTTGCACAAAGTACTTCCCAGTACTACTTCGTACTACAAAGCTTGCATAAAAGTACTTCCCAGTACTACTTCGTACTACAAATCTTGCGCAAAGTACTTTCCAGTACTACTTCGTACAACAAAGCTTTTACAAAGTATACTTCCCAGTACTACTTCGTACTACAAAGCTTGCACAAAATACTTCCCAGTACTCCTTCGTACTACAAGGCTTGCACAAAGTACTTCCCAGTACTACTTCATGCTACAAAGCTTGCACAAAGTGCTTCCCAGTACTACTTCGTACTGCAAAGCTTGCACAAACAGTGCTTCCCAGGACGACTTCGTACTACAAAGCTTGCGCAAAATACTTCCCCGTACTACTTTGTACTACAAAGCTTGCACAAGGTACTTCCCAGTACTACTTCGAACTACATTGGGAAATACTCCTTCGTACTACACGGCTTGCACAGAGTACTTTACCATACTACTTCGTACTACAAAGCTTGCACAAAGTACTTCCCCGTTCTACTTCGTACTACAAAGCTTGCACAAAGTATTTCCCCGTACTACTTCTTTCTGCAAAGCTTGCACAAATTATTTCCCGGTACTACTTCGCACTACAAAGCTTGCACAAAATACTTCCCAGTTCTACTTCATACTTTAAAGCTTGCACAAAAGGTACTTCCCACATTCGTCACCCCCGAGCGCCAGCCGCACGAGACGAGGTTCCCACCATCGACGCCAGGAGCCAGTTTCTTCGAGAAAACGCAGGGTTTGGTGCGATTTCTACAGTCCAAACATCACCTTGACACAGCAGTTCCACTGCGATCTGCGCTCCCTGCCTTGCAAATCACACTACAACTGCATCGAGCACCTTTCTGCGCTCCACCTTTCTGCTCTCTTCACATCAGGACTCTCCCACATCCCTACTCTCTCACATCCCTACTCTGTCCATCTCCAATTTCTGCGCATCCCTACTCTCTCCATCTCTAATCTCTGCACATCCCTACGCTCACCATCTCTAATCTATCCACATCTCTACTCTCTCTCTCATCCCTCCACATCCCTACTCTCTCCATCTCCAATCTTTGCACATCCCTACTCTTATGTGCTTGTGATTATGTATTGTTGTGATTATGCATTGTTGTGGTGATTTATTGTTGTGATGATTTATTGTTGTGATGATGTATTGTTGTGACTGTTTATTGTTGTGATGATGTATTGTTGTGATTATTTATTGTTGAGATTAGATTATTTATTTGTGATTATCTGTTGTCTATTTATTTTTGATTACTTAATGTGATGCATTTGTGATTGTTTACTGTTGTTTTTTGTTGTGATGATGTATTGTTCCTCTTGACAATATTTTCTGTATAATGGAGTTTAGACTTCGAAACTTCCTTTGATAATCCTACACACACATATATATATAACTATATTTAAACTATATATATTAAATTATGTATATATTAAAGTTATAATAGATATATAATAACTTAAATAAATATATATATATATACATATATTTAATTATATATATATATATCAAAATTAATATATATATATACATATATTCTAGATTTAATATATATATATATTCTAGATTTAATATATATATATATATATTTCTAGATTTACACACACACATATATATATATATTCTAGATTTAATATATATATATATATACATATTTATTTTTTGTTTATTTATTTATTACTGTATTACAAACAAGGGTTTGGTGTGTTTTCTGGGCCCCAAGGAAACTATGATTAGGGTTTGTTGTCTTGGTGGTTCGATTTGAATGAAAGAGGCACATGTAAGTGTATGATAATTCACCATATTATGGTATGTCAGTGTGTGGTGTATCATTTTATGTTGTCCCATGTGTCTGCTTCACTGTTGGCAATGCTTATTCACTTTCGATAGTTTGACCATGAAGACTCCCCCCACTCCCCAACCAGCTTCCATGTTGCAATGAAAGAAAGGGTGTCTTTATTTACAAACCCATAGTGTTCCTTATGCGTGGATTAGAAGATCTATACGGCAAAGGTATAGTTTATATTAATATGTATATATATATATATTATCCAGTCTATACAGTCATGTGTATTAAAAAACAGATGCCATTTTCCAGGCCAACCATGTCTTCCCCCATGGCACCAGGTTGTTGGACTCCGAGCTTCGCGCGCGGCTAGAAGCGCTGCTGCTGCGCTCTGGAGATGGAGCGATTTTGACGAAACTGCCGGGGGAACCCAGTCAGCTAAGGCGCCCCAAGGGATGTGGAACAGATTTGTACCAGACTTGATGCTGGTGCTGGCCGATACATTTTGGGATCTGAATCTGTTCCCAAAACATGTGCTCTGGTGATGTTCAGCGCGAAAACTCTTCAGGTTTGGTGTGGGCTTCATTTTTAACCTGAGAGTTCGCCGTTGGCGTATACGCTTCAACAGCAGTCGAAGCGTGCAACAGATGTGACTGAGGTTGAACACGGTCATTGCCAACAACGGTGGTGCCTCATGTCCTCAATTGATTGCTGAAGAAAAAAGTCCGCGTTGCGAGATGCCCATGCTGCTCTCTTCACAAATCTCTGGGTGCACATCAGAGCCACCCTCCACATTTCAGGCCGCCTCAAGAGGCAGCGTGGGAGCGGATTGGGGTGTGATAGCATGCTACTGCAAATGATCATCACAGCAGTTTCGGAATGCAGTTCACTGAACATCAAAGTCATCCAAAGTCTTCAATTGCTGGCATTTGGCTCGTGCTGATGGAAGCTGTAGAAATGCAGGCGGGTTGGGGCTTGTTGCCACCTTGTCATGAGATAAAAGGTAGCATCACCCTCCATCTCTTGAGTATCCCCTTTCAAGATATTGTTGATATATGTTGATATTGGACTTCCTCGTCATGGAAATTCAAGAACCGTTGGCCTTGTATTATGGTATTGTTCCCTTTTTGCTCTTGAAACTGCCAGTTACATCGAAAGGCACTGGCCCGGGCGCGGTTCGCATCTCGATGCAGGCGCTGATCGGACACTGATCGGATGGAGATGGTAGGAGTCTTCATGGATTGGGAGATTAATGGGATATAATGGGATATAATGGGATATAATGGAATGGAACAGATAATATTTGATAACACACTAACCAACAATATGATATTCGATATATTTGGAAATGGGGACAATTAGAGGAAAAATGATGATAAACCATTCGATGTAGGGGTACTCCATTTGTCAGACGAAACCATTTGTTGGTTTTTAAGGATTTGTTGTTTCCGCATGTTCCCGTCCCTCAGATGATCCTCCCTGTTGCCAAACTGCGATTTTGAGGCTCCCATGCAGACAGCTTTGCAGTGTCACTCGGCCGCTTTGCATGGCTCGTCACTTGGATGCAAGCGGCAATCAATCGTTGCAGGTACCATGGTTTTGCAGGATGTTGCAGGGGTTTTGTATAGTTTTATATAATTTCATATAGTGGTTTTCAGTTTTCAGAACATATGATATGATAATGTATGATGCGACGTATTTGTGTCTTTTGAATGCTGGCATGCGCTGGCGACGTAGTGGCCGAATGATCAGACTACGACCTACAAACTGGAACTGGGCTTTTAGCTCTCTGAGCTCTCTAAACGGGCTCTCTGGTTTAAACCTGGAGATCGTTCTTCCTGCTTGGGAATGTTCTTCAGAGAGTCACTGGACAATAGAATGTAACATCCATTTGTGATCCGAAACGAGGTGATGCCGCCCTTCCGACACGGCAGGCCTGGTACAATACCGAGCCATAGTCTCCAGTTGTCATCTCGTGGAAGAAGTGTCCTGCTCTTCCCAATGGCATAGTCCAATCCAACTGGACCAGGAATCTTTCCGGCCACAGCTGGGAGGTGCAACGGGGTTTTGATATGTATCAGCTGTAAGATATTAATGACACTTGGCAACTACAAGTGGGCACTACTGCCATCACTTGAGCAACTCCAAGCTTATAACATCTATCAAGATCTTATGAGCCCAAGCATTACCACTACCAGCTATAGGCCGTAGGCCATAGACCAGACAGCAAGGCTGAATCAAAGAGTGCACGTTTCAGGTCGTTGGGCCTTGCGCTGCTGCTCCGGTGACGCGGGTGCTCCATCGACAGAGGCCTGGAGTTTAGCTATGAGCCATCATGAATTTAGTGTACCATTTAGGGACGAAGTTGAGATCTACCACGATTTATTACAAAATTCAGCCAGCTGGAAAATCAATGAATCTGAGATCTACTTAACATTCACCAGTTGATTCGGAAAGAAACAGTAAATTCGACATCTACCATGCAAAATCATCACTTGAACAGCGGCTTCAAGGGCGGCAAGATGCCAATCTGTAGCGGCTACCTGGTGCGCCAGGAAAGAATAGCAAAGTTGGAGACAGAGGTCCAATCGCTGAAGCAAAAGCTTGGAGAAGCCGCAGTCTCAGGGAAGCTGCCATGGTGCCAGAAGAATCTCACGTGGATCATCGAACCTGAAAATGGGAAGTTCCAAGAGGGACATGATCTGCAGCATTCTGCAAAAAAATGTTGTTGTGGGCGATCTTACTTTTCAAGGTGTGGGTGTGACAGAAGTATTGTTGAGCTGTTGTTGATCCACGCCGAGACTCTATCGAATCATTTGAATCTCTCCCCATGAACGATTCAACGATCCTCCCAAGAAACCATGGGGTTTTGACGCCCTGCTTGCTCAACAGGTAGAGAAGATGGCCAAAAGGACAGGTCATACTAGCCACGTTGAAACCTACAAAGTTCAGCGCAAGCGAATGTAATGTATCTCAAATGCCAAAACAAAGCAGCCTTCAGACTTGTTGTACCATGTTGTACCTGCTGTGTTGAAGTCCTTGAGGTCTTGTATTATTTTGAATACCATGCTGAAGGTGAAGTGTCATGTGCACACATTGGCACACGGTCACATCCACCGAAACTTTGGCAGGAAAGGCTTTATGGCAGCAATGATGGAGTACGGCGCACCTTTTGCTCTGTGGTACTTGCCCAAGCCAGCAGAATTCCTCCAGAATTGTGGCCATTCCTGGTCTCTGCCATGTGGATTGTATAATTTGCCGGGTTGCAAATAGAGGCATTCTTTGCCACTGCAGGGGCTTCTTGATTGTTGCAGACGCTACTCCAAACACAAATCAAAGAGGTCAGACATGGTCAGACCATGTGCATGCAAACACATTATCTGATGTAGTTATATGAAGGTTTCCTAAATTGGGGTACCCCAAACCATCCAAAATTGGATCGTTTTAGATCATTTTAGTATTGAAACCCATGCTGGCTTGGGGATCTTACATTTTAAGAAAGCACCATATGTATCCAATATTCTCATCGCTGCACCATGGATCAGATCCGGACCTCCGATGTCAACCTACTGGTAGGTATGCCTTCTGCTGGTCGGGCACCTTGCTGGGTCTGTACCTCCTATTGGAATGGGAGGCGCTCAGTACAGGGTCAGGGGTGGGACCAGTGGAAAATCTCTGACTCATCATGTTCTGTGCAACTTTTGCAAGCATCTCACAAATCACTTGGGCCAATAACATGTTCATAGTACCTAATATATATATATATATCATTATGCATTCATTCATTCATTCCTTCCTTCCTTCTTTCATTCACTCAGTCACTCAGTCACTCAGTCACTCAGTCACTCAGTCACTCAGTCACTCAGTCACCCAGTCACTCAGTCACTCAGTCACTCAGTCACTCAGTCACTCAGTCACTCAGTCACTCAGTCACTCAGTCACTCAGTCACTCAGTCAGTCACTCAGTCAGTCACTCAGTCACTCAGTCACTCAGTCACTCAGTCACTCAGTCACTCAGTCACTCAGTCACTCAGTCACTCAGTCACTCAGTCACTCAGTCAGTCACTCAGTCACTCAGTCACTCAGTCACTCAGTCACTCAGTCACTCAGTCACTCAGTCACTCAGTCACTCAGTCACTCAGTCACTCACTCAGTCACTCACTCAGTCACTCACTCAGTCACTCACTCACTCACTCACTCACTCCTTCGTTCGTTCCTTCCTTCCTTCCTTCGTTCGTTCGTTCGTTCGTTCGTTCGTTCGTCGTTGATTCGTTGATTCGTTGATTCGTTGATTCGTTGATTCGTTGATTCGTTGATTCGTTGATCATTCGTTGATTCGTTGATTCGTTGATTCGTTGATTCGCCCATTCGTTCCTTCGTTCCTTCGTTCCTTCGTTCCTTCGTTCCTTCGTTCCTTCGTTCATTCGTTCATTCGTTCATTCATTCATTCATTCATCCATTCATTCATTCATTCATTCATTCATTCATTGATTCATTGATTCATTGATTCATTGATTCATTGATTCATTGATTCATTCCTTCACTCAGTCGTTTGTGCCTTCGTTCATTCGTTCATTCATTCATTCGTTCGTTCGTTCGTTCATTCATTCATCCATTCATCCATCCATCCATCCATCCATTCATCAATCACACGTATCGCATATATCGCATATATCACATATATCACATACACCACATATATCACATATATTGCACATATCACATATATCACATACATCACACACATCACATATATCACATATACCACATATATCAAAGTATATCACGTATGTCGCAAACATCACGTATATCTCGTATGTCACATATATCACATATATCACACATATCACATATATCACATATATTGCACATATCACATATATCACATACATCACACACATCACATATATCACATATACCACATATATCAAAGTATATCACGTATGTCGCAAACATCACGTATATCTCGTATGTCACATATATCACATATATCACACATATCACATATATCACACATATCACAATATATCACAATATATCACAATATATCACTATATCACATATATCACATATATCACGTATATCACAAGCATCACATATATTTCATTTATCACATATATCACATATATCACACATATCACGTATATCACATATATCACATACATCACACATATCTCATATATCACACACACATCACGCATATCTCATATATCACATATATCACATATATCACATACATCACATGTATCACATGTACCACATATATCACATATATCACATATATCACATATCACATATATCACATGTATCACATGTATCACCATTACCAGCACCACCACCACCACCACCATCATCATCATCATCACCATCATCATCATCAGCAGCAGTAGCAGCATCAGCATAATCACCAACACCATCGGCAATTTCATAGTCAGTGCCTCCTGGTGTGCCCTTTTGTGGACATCTCGGCGATTGCGGGCTCGACCGAGTGCGAAGCTGACTGCATATTTGCCACGTTGCCAAAGGCCTTTCCTGGCTTGTTTTGCAATGTGTTTGATTCGACCTTGCGATGCAACAGAACTGAACCACTTTAGTGCTTCACTTTCTGAGAAAGCATTCACATGTTGGCAGTCGATGACATCCCTGATCAGTGCAGATGATCCGTTCCGAAATTTCGCATTGCTGTTTGCCATCACAATCTTTGCTTGTTGGTGGGATTGGGTAAGCACCAGTACCATAAATTCATCCAAAAAGCAGATGCTGAAAAACAATCTCCAAAAAAATCTAAAAATTGCAGATGCACAAAACAAAAGAAAAAATTGAATTCGGTTTTCACCAGCCATGTATCACCAAGCGTTGTGGCATTCGCCGCACGCAAATGCAGTACGAAACGCGTGAAAGCAGCCAAACTTTCACATCGACGCAAAACCAGCCAAATTCGACGCAGACGCATGCGCTTTTGGTTGCTAGGTCACCCCAAAAATAGCAAACGCTCCAGAAAAGCACCAAAAGCAGTATACATCAGCGCCCTCCAATCACCATATTGGATGCCAAGATGTCAGCACTCCTCACCACGGGAGAATTGCACACAAACAACATATGAACATGTTTTTCCTTTGCTTTGGAAATGCATAAACATGCTTGAAGACCAGCAAAGTCCCCAGTTGCAACAAGCCAGCAGCATCACACCACAGGTGCTGCACACAAAAACCATGCAAAAGCAAAGCCTACCTCACTTACGCGCCTTGCTGGCCGGAGGAGCCTATGGTACGCATGTCACAAAACGCAAACGTTGGGGTGGTGGTAAAGCGACTACTGCTGCCAATGACGACTATGGTCCTGCGCAAGCCTTAGCCAACGTTTTGCAGCAATGGCAACCCAATACCATTGCAAATGCACAGACAAACAAAAGGTTCAAGAAGTCTCAGACGAAACAATCCAACCTGAGAGAACAGCTCTTGTCAGTTCTCACCACAAACGCTCAAAGCAGTTCCGACCAAGAGGTTGTCAGCAAAATCAGCCACATCCTGCAGCCATACCTTGGTAAAAATTCCGGATATGATGATTTGAATGATCATGAATATCATTATGATGACACCGGTCAGCAATCCTATTACGCCCACAGTAATAGCAGTAAGCAGCACCATGTCAATCACAATCCCCAAGCTGGGAAACAAAAGACCCGATGGAACAAATCAGATCAATTCCAAAAGAAACACAATGCAAGCTCACCAGCGATCAGAGGCCTGATCGCCAGTGAATGGACACAAGTTCCAAAGATTCTCGAATCCCAAGAACTGATGCGAAAAATCAGAGCTGGCGAATCAGATGACACCACCAATATAGCTCCAGTCAATTCCATTGCTGAAGCTAAACAACTTGTTTCCAGCTGGAAAGCCTTCGGATCCCAAGGAGGCTACACACTGCTCCTGACAGGCCCTGCCAAGAGTATGCCCGGAGCTACCCCAGCTAGGATCAGGGTTCTCAGAAACAACGCATCTTCAAGGTCGAGGAAGTTGCACTTTTTGCACTTGGGGATGTCAATCAAGCTATCTGGATCAAACCTACCATCACGGTCCAACCGCAGACGCTGCCAAAAATCGACAGAGTCACAGTGAGAATTGCAGCTCCTGAAGAATTCCGTCAGCACTTCATTGATGGAAAAGACAAGCCACGCCTGATCGTTGCTGAAGTTGCACAGTGGAGCCCTGACGTGAAAGCATCGGCTCTGATCGGAGGAAATTGGGCTGAAAACACATACAACAAAAAGCAATTGCTCACTGGATTCTTATATTTTCCCACCAGCATGGCCAAATTGCTGGTGGCAAAAAGTGGAACTCGAGGAATTTTCGCCAACATCCAGGATAAAATTCCGACAAGAAGAGCAATCACATGGCTTACTCGTCAGCCAAGTGAAACAACAGACGCTTACCTCAACAGATGTCTCAAAATCGCAAAAGAGCGTCAAGAAGGTTTGTATTACAGAAAAAGCAGCACCATTCACACATTGGGACTCTCCCAAACTACCGAAGAAGCTGCTAAAAAGAAATCCCAACAATACATCGCCCGTGGCGTGCCGCGCTCATGGCACATGGAAGAAATCCAACAGCTCCTCGAAAGCCTCAGCTGGACAGAAGTGGCCGATTTCCACAAAGTAAAATACAAGCCTGAATGGAGATTGAAAGCTATTGCTCCAATGGCTGACAAAGATGCCTACCACTACAAGATCAGTGATTCGGAAGCCATTTCTTTGATTGTTGCACCAACCGCTCCGAAACTCGCTGATTACATGAGACCTGTGAGAAATACATGGCAAGGCAGCAATCCAATTGCCAAGCCAGTTAAAGCAAATGAGGGCCTCTCGGAACCTGATTCAAAAGCAGGGTCAAAGCGCGATCGCAGCAGAAGTCCAGTTAAAGCAACTCAATTGGACACGCAGTCACAAGAAGATGCAGATCAAGACATGCGAACACCTGTCGCCACTTCAAGCATGCCTCATAAGCAATCTTATTATTGCTCTCCTTCCAGCATCCCATTGAACCCTGATGAAGCCTTGGCTCAACAATGGACTTTGCAAGACTTAGGGGGCAACGGCGATTGTTTCTATCGCGCCTGCGCTGGAGCTCGAGCAGTTGCCAAAAATGACAGAAGCTGACAAGCGATGAGGCAAGAGTCGAAGCGGCTGAACTTCGGCTGGCCACAGTAGCTCATGCTCGAAAGCACAAGGAAAGATTCAAAGAATGGTTTGCACCCGACGTGCAAGACGCTGCCAACAAGAAAAGCAACAAAAAAAGAGCTGAAAATCTTGATGAATGGCTGGACCAACAGGAACTTCAAGCAACATGGGCAGACGGTCTTGCAATTCACTGCCTAGCCGAAAAATATGGTCTTGCTCTATCAATATGGAAGAAGAATCCTGACACATCCGCCTGGGATCGTTATACCTTCGCACCAAAATTCAGCACGGATGGCATTGCGGGACTTCGACAAAAAGAGAAACCCTTGTCACTTGTGCTCGAAGGATGCCACTATAAAGCTTTGCATGCTCCCAAGAATCAGCGAATGCCTAAACCATGGCTCATGAAGACAGCAGCTGACCTGGCTACCATCATTATCGATCTCACAGGTGCCGGAAAACACAGCCAATCTAAAGCCATTCGTCAACAGCCAGTCAGTCCTAACAGCAGCGGCCGTGTACCACTCAATTCACCTGGAACTCCTTCCAGTATACACACCTATGTTGAATCCGAACAAGCGTCCAGTAGCCATTTCAGACCTCCAGTGACGCCAAAAGCCAAGACAACAGCTGACTCCGAAGCAGCCAGCTGTCAGTGTACATACATATCGATCCACATCCACAAAGCCTGAAGACAGCGAAAATGTCACCTTGGAAAGAAATCCACTCACGGCACAACTTGTCGATCAGAGACCTGACACCTGCTCAAGAACCATTGGATCACCATTGCAGCTGTCACGTAGTTTGGTGAAAGAGAAACCGGAGCGTTTCAACCAAGCCGAAAGCGTCATCAGCATGCCTGATTCTTCTCCTCCGATCAAGCGTAGACGACTTTACGGAAAGCAAAAAGTCAATCAATGGTCCGACCCAGAGCCTCCTCCTCAATCAGAAGAGCTTTGTTGGACGTGTCGTCTTTGTCACCTCAAAATTGTCGCCACTGATAGCAGATCCATGAACTCTAAGCGGAATAATCATCTCAAGTGTCGACACCCCCACCATGTCAAAACAGACGCAGACAAATTCTGCAGATTTAAACTGCAACCCATTGTCGCTAGCCATGAGATCCCCAAAGAAAGCCGAGAATGGGAATGTCCATGGTGCTTTAAAGGTCTCCCAGCTTGCACAGGCCAAAAGCAAAGGCACAAATCCATCCAACTTCATTGGAAAACCGACCATCCCAATGAAGACACATCCGTCAGTGCCATTCTCAAGCAAAGAGCCAAGAATATGAGAGAACTGCCTGGTTCTCAGCCGCAAATGATAGAAGGAAATGCCAAACGCTCCATCAGTTGGACCAAAAGACACGCCGATAACCGCGATTTGAAACGCTGCGGTCACCAGCTCGTTTCCTTTCAGCCAGAACCAGGCACTTGGACCCCCGAAGGCTGGGCCGGCAATGCAGTCTATACCTGTACCCAGTGTTGGAGCTTTGGACCCTATGGTACATTCAGATGTGAATGTAAGCCCTACAGATGGCCAAAAAGTTTCTTTGACTTACCAGAAAAAACAAAAGAATTGCTTTCCGAAAAATGGCAAACCACAGTTGCCACAGCCACCGAGTTTTTCACCAAAAATGCAGGACCTGCAATCAAAAACAAGCTGCAGAACAAAGACAAAGAACTTTCTGATGCCAAATTTGGCAGATTGATCGAAGAAGGAATTGAACAGCACCCGGGACCCAACATCCAACCCAGGCAGGCGGTGCATTTCAATATTGTCACTATCAACGTTGCAGGTGTTCCAGGTGCATGGCGAGCACTTGAAACATGGCAGAACTGTGTCCTGATGTTGCAAGATACGCCTTTCACAGAAGCCGAATTTGCAAGCTTCCAATTAAGCGCCAAGAAAAGTCAGCTCAAGGTTTACCATAACAGCAGTGGCTACCAAGCCGGCCGAAAAGTAGGAGGGGTTACCACACTGATCCCAGCTAAACTCCGACAGCACAGGTTGCCAGACACCGCAGGCAATTTGCTGACATGTTGCATCGAAGGAATTGTTTGCATTAATTCGTACGCAGCTCCCAACCGACAACAAAGCCATGCGCAAGCTTTCCTTGAAACTCTTGTTGCTCACAAACTCGAACATGTACCATGGTTTGCAGCCGGAGATCACAATGAAAATCCTCAAGACAGCCATTTCCAAGCTAGTGGTGCCACCCACGGTGGAGTGGTATTGGGCACCGGAAGACCCACCAGGTGGGAAGGCCAATCAGAGATAGACTGGTGCATGTCCAATTCACCCAGTCTGTTTGGAAATCCCGAACTGCTCACAGATTATCATATCAGTGATCATATCGCCATCAGTGTTCCTGCTCAGCCCAAAACTGCTCCCGCTCAATATTATCGCTTGGCTCCTCAGCCGCAAGCCGAGCTTCCTTTCAGACAGTGAATGGAGCAAAAAGTTGTGCGAAGCATGGTGCCTTCACAAACAGGATGAAGAAGCGACGTACCTCCAAAAATTGAGCCCACTTGAGATCAAAGTGGACCTAGAATGGAAACAGTATATGAATTTGCTCAGCAAAGTTTATCAAACTGCCACAAAAATCAGTGCCAGCCTTATTGCCGCTCCAGAAAATGAAAAAGAGCTTAAGCACAAACTTGACCAGACCGGACGCAAAAACGGCAAAGGCACTGCAGCCCCCAAATTTCAAAAAGTCAATCAAACCATTCATAACTCCGGTCACCAGCTAAGCAGCCAATCCGTGCTGAAGTATGCGCGCCGCTTAGCCAGACTGTATGAATTGCAGAGATTGATCCACAAAGATGTGAATAATCAAAGGCATCTCCTCAACGAATGCCCTGAGAATACCCGAAATCTATTCAGGAAATTGTGGAAAGCCGAAGCCACTCCCAGAGACCTCAGTCTTGCCAATATCTTGCACAAAATCAAAAGGGATATCCAAGACACCAATGCAGATCGGCTCCGCCAAGAGCATGATAATACACAATTGAGATTGCGCCAGTGGAAAGCAAGATACCAGACTGGCAATATAACCGCCATCAGCAAATGGATCCAAAGGAAAGAGCAAAAAAGCTGCCCAAGCCAATGTTACTCTTGATGGACAGACAGCTAAAACTGATGGCGAAGCAGCGCAGTTTGTTCACCGCTTCTGGAAAAAGCTGTGGCAAGACCAAGCTGAAACTCAAGCGAAAATGCTAGCGGAGCATTTTCCCCAAGCTTGCCGACAAAGTTGGGAACCACCGAACTACTGGCAGCTCCACAGTGCTGTTCGCTCTTGCCAAGGCAGTGCAGGAGTTGATAGTTGGAGCTCAGATGAAATTCGATATTTGCCAGATGATGCCATATCGGACTTTTACAAGCTTGCCTGTAGATGGGGGACTGCCAAACAAATTCCGTCCCTTTTACAATATGGCAAAATGACCAGTCTCCAAAAGCCAGGAAAGATCAAAAATCATGAAATCGCTGCCAGCGATTTGAGACCAATCACAATCTTGAGTATATTCTGGCGATGCTGGTCCAGTGCGTGGACACATAGCATCAGTGCCATGCGCTTTGCAGACACTCTCCCAACATGCCTCAATGGAATCCACGGCCACCACGGTACTGAGGAAGCTTTTAGCCTGTTGCAAGACAGAATGATCCTTTCTGATGCTGGGGTTGTCAGTCTCGATTATAAGCAAGCCTTCGACCGCATGGGGGCCACCATCACGTCCCAATTTCTGCACACCGCATTGGCGTGCCAGAATCCTTCACCACAGTCTTGTGCAGCAAGTATGGAACACTCGTCGACTTGTCCAGTATGGGTCCTCCTATCACGATGAAGTGCTAGTTAGTAATTGTACGCCCCAAGGTTGCCCTTTTGCTCCACTCGTTCTCAGCTGCTGGATGCTGAGTGGACATTGCCACGTTGAAAAAGATCTCATGCGACAAGGACACACCAAAAATGATTTGAACAAATCGCACACCACCATTTATATGGACGATCGTAGCTTTTGCGACAGCAATATCCCTCGATTGCTCGACCGAGCTGATGCATGGTTGCGATGGAGTACTATGACCAACTTACTCGAAAATACCAACAAAATACAGGCAGTTGCCCGAACCAAACAGAAGCAAAATCAGCTTGCTGACCTCCGGCCAGAGTGGACTGGCCAAGCTGAAACCACAATACGGGGCATCACTTTGACCCTGGAACGCCGGAGAAACTCTGAAACAGAAACCAAACGTATTGACAAAGCCAGGCGACGAACCAAATTGCTGGCATGCCTGCCATTACCTTGGCCCAACAAGTTGGCAGTTTATAAAGCTTTGGTTCTTCCTGCCGTTGTTTATGGCTGGGTCTGTCGCAAGATGCCAGCCGATGATGCCGACCACCTTCACAAAGCCTTGACTCGAGCTTTGCACACCAATGTCATGGCCAATAGTGACATCCGCAAAGTTGTCTATGGAGGAACCACTCACCCCTTGTGTGTCATCAAACAAAGACTTTTCCGGCGTCTCGGACGCCTGAAGAAGCAGAAGTCAGTCACTTGGACCAATCGTGCCTGGACCAGCACCAACTTGCTGCGCAATTACTTGGCTGACGACAACTGGACCGAAGTCCGAGAATGGTGCTGGACAAACACCAGCCGCACATCTCTCACTCTGGATGCAGCTGAAAACAAAACCTTTCATGACCCTGAATGCCATCTCCTTCGCCAGCAGTGGCGATTGCAGTGCTTGCAAGATTGGCTTCAAGGCCAACGTCATGAAGCTCGTCTTTGGAGAGAGACGGAATCCGCCGAAAACATTGAGCGCCAAATGCTCCGTATTGATCTCAACTGGGCACGTCAAGCCCTTGAAACAGCTTCCGCTCCCCACCGTGCGGTTTTGTTAGGAAGTGTAGTCTCGCCAGCCTGGCTGTCGCGCAGTCGAGGAGACTCAAGTGAAATCCCTTGGTGCAGCGAATCCTTCGCAACACTACTTCACCTTTTTTGGGATTGTCCTTCACATCATGGAGACATCACCAAACCAACAAACTATCTTCAAGCCCGTTTCGGCTGGCCGGAGCGCAATGCACACGAAGATGAATCTTGGAAAATTCTCAACCACATGGCCAATGTGGTCAGTCAGCTGTGGCTGGCTCGTTATGGCGAAGGCCATGCTGTGCCGACAGGCACTGACAACTGAAGTATCTCTGTTCGGTGCTGGATGGGATGCAATGCGGTGGTGCGTCTACCTCATTGTGTATCAGGGCCTCCAGCACTATCACAACATTATTTTTTTTCACCAACACCATCGGCATCACCATCACCATTATCATTATATCATCCTCCTCCTCCTCCCTCATCAACTCGCCGTTGGTCAAATTTCAGGGACGAACTGCCCACCAGGTCGTATCCTGGCAGAAATCCTTGCGGCCCTTCTTCGAGAGCTTGGGCCTGGATTGGTATACTGAGAGAATCGCCGGGACACCCAGCACTGGGAACCGGTGGGTGGTCAGACATGCTTACAAGTCCATCCCAAGAATGACAGGAATGAGTTGATAATCCCACGTGACTTCAGATATCTTTAGATATTTCTTTCGAATTCTCTAGATCAATTAGATTCTTGAGGTGGGTGGTTCGAAAAACCAAGCAGTGGAGTTTGAGGCATCGCTAGGAGACGGTGGGAACAGCATCTGGCCACAGGATTCGAGCACAGGGAATCTGGTCATCGCATTCATGGCGGTGACCTTAGACGGGGATGGGCAATGCCGGGCAATACGTAGAAAATTGGGCTTCAGTGACAGCAGGTAGTGTTTCAACATGTTTCAACCGTTAAACAGTTGGAATTTGATTATGCCATGATGAGCAGTCACCAGGGGTACCAGGGGTACCAGACTCCATGACAAAGCAGGTGGACTCTTGCAGATTTGGATGACAGGTGAATGAGCTGCTTGAAGCGGTTCGATTTCCGCCAGGATACCCAGGATGTGGACGCTGTGATTTGGGATGCCCTAGATTCTCGTAGTTCTTCTCTTCACGTCTGTTCTGTCTACTTGTCAGTCAATTTTGATCATGATTTGAATTCAAGTGAAGCTGATGTTTTGATCTGTTACGGCATGTTGGCCACAAGGATAAGTTCTTCTGAATGGAGGATTCCGCAAGTACCATGCAATGGGTTCCAGCCAGGCTGGTGTTGGCCACTAGTGGCACCATCATTCGTTGGTCAGCCCGCTTTCGTGCGACTGCCGCCAAACCGTGAATAGACAAGGTTCGCCCGGGTGGAACGATCAACAGATCAAACTATTCGAACCAATGGCGTTTTTTTTTGTGACGCCCACACTGTGAAAAGCACGCCTCCCTCAACCAGGAGCGCGCTGCTTGCCAACCTTCTGTGAATTCTTTGGGCTTGAGTGGCAGCGATTGCCACCATAAAGAGTGGATGCCTTGTCATCAGTATTTGAGGATGGTGCAGCGTTGCAGAGAAACCCATCAGTGATGTTCTCTTCCAAATGAAGGTGCAATTCTTGGAAGTTAGATTCTAGCCAAGTCAGCAATGCGCTGTAGCGCGGGACAAAGTAGCCAATTTTAATGAACCTGCCGCGAGGAGTTGTTGGGAAGTAACGTCATTTTTTGCAACGCACACACACAAACATTGTTTTCCTTCAGCTGCGAACGATCTCAACAACTTCCGCGTAGCCATGAATGGCTAGCTTTTGCTGGCAGTGCTTGCTGCCAGAAGCTTGTAAAAAGATGCCAAAAGAGGTGGAAAGGAGGTGGAAGAGGAAGGACAGATTTATCATGATTTATCGATGAAATGAAACCTGATTGATGAACGATGCCAGACCTTGTCGTATGGCTCAGATAGATAACAATCCCTTGAATTGGTTGGTTCTACAGTAAAATGTGGCAGTTAATAGGCTCAGCCATTCAAGGAGAGTATATAGATGAGTAGATTTGATAGGGGGCAGGCATCACCACATTCCGTGGCTACGGATCAAAACTATTCAAAGCTGTGAATATTAAAAATGCGCCCCTTAAAAAAATGGAATAGTTTGCAAGATTCTACAACTATATAAGCCAAAAATTGATATACAATGACCAAGAACTGTGGCTCCGATGAGTTTTAAATTTTTGATCCATCTTCGTCCGCTGAATTGTCTCGAGGCAGAGAAGCCGGATCCCGCAGCCGAGCTGCTAGCAGCACAGGCTGCAGGTGCCAAGGGTAGATCTGTTGAGAAAACGGTTGCAGCGGCTCGAAATGCATTGTCTAGATGCCAATCAATCCGCTCATAATAGCCAATAGCCAGTATGTTGCGATCCTTTAGATGATGTGTCAAAATTTCTTACCTGACCTACAAACTTGGAATATGGTGGGTTCAAGACAGTGCTGGGCCATGCTTTGTTGATAGCAGCATGCAAGTTAAGCCTTTGGTTCAGAAATCTTGGAAGACCCTGGACCCGGGGCCTTCCCAGGAGATGCAACTGCCTTAGCAGCTGCAATACCCAAAGCTGATGCAGCTGGAGTGGATGCAGATGTCTTAGCTGCAGCCAAAAAGGCACGGATGATTCGCGGATGATTCGCAGGGATCTCACAGCTGGTGCACTCTATGTGGGTCACCATTGCATCATGACAGCCGCCAATTGAGCGTCGCGGTCCCGGCTTTTTGGCAGACTCTCTTCAAGCTTCAAAAGGAGAAAAGAGATAAGAGCCTGGCCCTGAGTTTTTCGGTCAGGTTGGATATTGCTGAATGAATAAATAATACGTATTATATATAATTATATATATATATATATTATATGTATATATATATAGATGATGTTTCTCCGGTACCAAAGTAATTCAAGTTGAGGCGTACAAATTCGCTGAAATGTGGTTCCGAGTTCTGCCAGATCCCCAGCAACTTAGCAATGAAAATAACCATCTCCCATCCCATTCTACTGGTTGGATTGTAAATGTCCCTGATTAACGGGTTACAACATGTTACAACAATCCCCATCAAACCAAGTAATGTATTCAACCCAAAGCCATACCCAAGTCATCACCTTTTTTAATGGCATTTCAACCATCCCATTATATAAATGATAGGTTTATGGCCAGGGTTTCAGCACCAAGGCAAGTTGGAACGCGCCAAGAGCCAAGCTGCAAGCGAGCTGGCGGCGGCTGCACAAGGGGACAATGCTGAGGAGCTGCGGAAGGCGGGGGCACCTTGGGTTGTTCGATGGGTCTAAAGCTATCCACTCTATGGGAATAGCATGAGGATATCATGGTAATATATGTAATATACATTAATAACATTAATAGACACTATAACCAAATGATGTTGACCCTAGATGATCGAATCAATGGGGATTTAAGGGGATTTGAGTGGCTAAGTGGCTGGAATTTACCATCGATGTTGCCCAGTTTGGCGATGGGGATGTCACCAACGACAACAATGCGACGTACTGTATACTAATCCCAACGACAACAATGGGAACGTTTGGGATAGAAGCAATCATCATGGAGATATAGGTGGCATACTGTACAAGAACAAAGTGGAGGTGTTCTCAAAATCCACGGAACTTTCCGACCATGAGTTTCCAGACTAAAACTAGCCTCTAGATCATCTAAAATTTGAGGCGGCATACCTATAGGTAGATACCTATGAGACTGAACACTGTGATGTCCATCGCATTTTGGTTGACCCTCTCTTTCTGCCCGAAAAAATCCCTCGGTCTTCATTTCTGCCATCATTTTCGAAGGGAACTCAGCCATGGCAGGCCATTCAAAAGGCTCAGGATGCTGGACTGCTGGTGGAGGAAACGACCTTGGCTCGTTTGGATGTCTTGGAACAGCAGGACACCCAGGGACGCCGTGCCCAAGGGACGGCGACCGAAAGTGGGGAACCAATGCGTGATATGGACAAACATCATGAATCCATTGGACTGAAGGAAAATAATCTACAGATGGTGGATGTTTTCCAATGCCATGTTTGTTTTATCAAAAGGGCAGATGAGAGCGATCTTAATATCTTGAAATCTAAGCCGTTTAGGACCCATGCTTCGAGAGAATGGGAACTGGAGGGAAAAAGGTGTTGGTCAGTGGACTTCGTCTCAGAAAATCAATGGTGCCCAGAAGCTTCAATGAATTGTTGGGATGGATAAGTCAACCAGAGAGTCTCATTCAGGGAAGGGTCAGGCACATTACCAATAACACATCTTTTTTTTTGTTGACCTCTTTGAACTGAAACAAGTCTTTGAGTCTTTTGCACGTGAAACCTTAAGCCACCTGCAAGCTTGACCTGTAACCTCACATGGTTTTGGTCCCCAAAACAAGAAATGATGAAAGGGGGACTGGTGAGGTTTTCTCAATTGAATACACCATAAACTAGGATGCAGTAATAATGTAATCAAACCTTTACACCATTTTTTTTTTTAATATTGTGTTTTTGCCACAGAACAATCTCACAAAGCATTCGGAGGAAAAGAAGGAGTGCATCAAACTTGCTTTTGAAGACCTGGAGCTGCTTGCTTGCAAAACTTGACATCTCAGACGATTTTAATGTGTCCGAAGCTAGTGGATGATCAGTTAGTTGCATACGGGTTCCTAATTTATGGCAATTTAAATTGGGAAAATGACTTTATCAACCACTGGATGTTGGGTTTTCCCCACAATTCTCAGGTACCAAAGCCAGATAATCAGATGATCCACTTATACCCCATCATAATATCTCCACAGAAATTATGAGTTTTCTCCGATCTCACCATTTCTCAAGACGTCGGAGGTGTGCGATTTCCCAAGATGACGTTGAGTCCGCGAACCTGGCACTGGAAGATGCATCCAGCATGGGGGCATCCCCAGAGGACCGGAGGAACCGGAGGATGACAGTTATGTTGACAGAGTAACCCAGTAACAAATCAAAACAAAATCAAAACAATACAAAATCATCAAAATCCACCAGTTTGTTGATAGGGGTAACGATTTTCAAAATTGAGAAGACTATTTTCGGGGCAACCCTCCCCCAATAGTCATGGTGTCTGAATCCGAGGTTAGCAGTATGAATTATTGTGGGTATGGCCAAAATAGTTGATACAGCAATTGTTGTGGCTATGAGGCATTGAGACCCATCAATTTGGTGAGTGGGTTTGGACCCATACCCTTACAATCCAGTGAAAGGGTGCTTTGGCTTCTTGTTTGCTCATGAACCGCCAGTTGAAGTGCAAGCTGCTTCTTGCCGCAGCCATTTGCTTCATTGTCCAGGGGAGGGGTTCGACGTCAATCAGGCTTCGGAGGTTCTCTATTGAGCATTTTACCTATGAGATCCTATGAGTATATACCTTTGTTTGGTGAACATGCTCTGTAATGCAATCTGACAGGTCCTGGTACAGCTGAGACCTGTTGAGGTTGGGTAGACTACACAGCAATGGAGGTGTGCTACCCGGCGTCCGAGACTGTGGCAATTCTCAGTGACTGCGAAGGAAAAACTGCAAAGACTCTGAAGCAATCCTTGGCATCACCTTGGCGTCACTAGATTTAGGCAACGACTCTTTTCAAGAGATGGTTCAGAGATCTCCGATGATGAGGTTGTCACAACGGCTCCAACGAAGGTCCAACTGGTGGTTTTGGAGTTTTGGCCACCTGATGCTGATGTCTGCATCTAGGAGCAACAATCTAGCTGTACTTGAGCAGCTGCTCAAGCGCCCGCGAAATCCTAATGTGACATGTGAACGTGGCTTTGCACCCTTGCACCATGCTGCGGAAGAAGGACATGTTGAACCTATGCGGCTGTTGCTTGAGGCACGTGCAGATGCACAAAAAGCAGCAGCCGGAGCAGCACCAGTACACTTTGCAGCTGCCAATGGCTATTTTGATGCTGTGCGCTTCCTGCTGGAAGTCGGTGTTGACCGAGATTAGCAAGCGACAGAAGATGGGAAAACACCATTGCATCATGCGGCTGAGGGTAGTCATCTCGATACAGTTCGCTTTCTGGTTGAAGTTGGAGCAAACAAGGATCAGCCCACAACTGACTATGGGGCCACACCAATGCATTTTGCAACTGAAATGGGTCACCTTGAGATTGTGCGATGTTTGGTTGAAGCCGGGGCCAACAAGGATCAGTCCACGACCGACCATGGGGTCACACCAACGCATTTTGCAGCTGAAATGGGCCATCTTGATGTTGTGCGATTCTTGGTTGAAGTAGGGGCCAGCAAGGATCAGCCGAGGATTGACAATGGGGCAACACCATTGCACATTGCAGTTGCTCATGGACGTCTCGACATTGTTCGCTTGCTGCTCAAATTTGGCGCGCTGAAGAATCAGGCTGCGCACAATGGTTTGCCGCCATTGCAGATCGCAGCTCAAGATGGCCATCTGGCGATTGTTCAATCCCTGCTTGAGTCGGGTGTTGATGGCGATACAGCTATCGAAAACCTGGCAAATGCCATGGAATTGGCATCTCAAAGTGGCCAATGGGAGATTAGTAGTTAGTTTTCTGGCTGACTTTCGAGCAAAATGGCATCCAAAGAAGATCCAGAGAGCTGGCAGGTAGCAGAAGATGAAGCACAGACCATCACGTTGGTAAAAGAAGATGCTGCAGCCTTGAACTGGCAGCCTTTTGGTCTTGGTATGCGTGTGTGTTTGTCCATGTGTCTTGTCAGTCTCTGCGAGTGTTGTTTGCGTGATGATGTGGTGACTGATGTGACTGCAGGAACTGAAGGAGGCTGAGGAAAAGATTGCAGCACTGCGCATGAAGCTAGACCCGGAGGCTGGACAGGAGTAGCAATTTTGGGGTTGGTTTCGAAAGCCACCAATGCCGACTCATTTGAGTAGTGGTATTAATGGATATTAATGGTGTATGTATGGTGTGCTTTCTTCATCATCATTTGCCAAGCATCACTGGCAGTTTTTGTGCCACAGGACCGCAGGATACAGTGGAACATAGAGTTTCATCCCTGGGATTTTGGCATGGCATACCCTACTCTTTGACAAAACCAAATAGTCCACGACACTTTGGAGCTTTGTTGATTGAGCATGATTGAGTGAACAAAGTCAACATGCTCATTGCACTCTATGAGCTCTTTGGTGAACTCGTGTGTTCAAGAAGCAGAGCCGACGCAAAATAGACCAACCTCTAATTAAAATCATAACTAGCAAATCCCGCTGAGGACCGAAACATGTGATATGCCCAAGCCTAGCCTTCCCATTTCTCTACGGTCCCTTTTAATCCTACCTGAGAGATCCCATTTCATGATTTCTTCTACACTCCCGGGGGGGTTCAATCACCAAGCAGTGAGCCACTTGTATGGTTTCATCATGTTTCATGTGAAAAAAAAATGATGCCCAAAAAATATCCAAATCCATTTTTTTCTTCTCATTTTCTTCCATTTTTTACCCACCTGTGGATTGCCATTTTGGGGCGGTATAACCCATTCCTGGACACCCCACTTCTCCCCTGCACTCCGTCAGGGTGAGGCTCGTCGACGTCGTGTGGAGGCCAGAAAGTCTCAAGGCACCGAAAAGAAGTGGAATTATTCGGGCAAAAGTCGGAGGCCCTAGCGAAGGGTGAGGGGATCAACACAGAAAAAGGAAGAGGAGATGGGAAGAAGGGTATGGCTCAAGATTTCTGACGTGTTGGGAACACAGTTTGGAACGTTTTTTTCAAAGGATTTGCCCATCCAATTTTTGGTGGCAAGACAATACATATCAGCTGCGAGTGCTTGAGCAAGTCGAAACTGCAGTTTCAACCTTGCAGTTTGATAAGGTGACAATCGCATCATCAATGACCGATTTAGACACTTGGCAGTGGAGATTAGTCGTGTTCTCCGGCAGGTTGAAACAAAAGGAATTACCTTTCTGTGCCCTGCAGCTTGAATCTTCAGTTAGCTGAAAAAGGACGAGAACTTGCCCCAAATTTCGGAGTTCCTGATAGTCCTAGTTGATCAGATTTTGGGCGCTTCGCGGAAGGCTCCTGGTTACAAGATCTTACAACCCCCCAACTCATTGCTTGGGGATCACGGGAAATCTGCCAATGAATCATTTTATTTCCAATCACCAGCAACAATCTTTCCAAAATTGTCACAAAAGGGATCAACAAAAGTTTCGGCCACGCGGCCCCCACGACCCGAGTTTCCAGACTTAATAGGAAAAACATGCAGGACCCCCCCCCATAGATTTGGTAAAAGATGGTAAAACACCTTAGTTTCCTATCAACAATCCCTCAAACCAAGCTATTGACAGTTATATTTGTTGATTGGTTCAGTCATGTTTCATGCTTGAATGGACGTTTCCCAAGTCATGGGGGTAGCACCATATCAGCCAAGTCATGGATGACCATGACTTTGAAAATTATGGTGACGATTGGGGATCCCCACCTAAGAAACCTCCAAATACCAATATCTTTTGGTTCCAAGAGGCATGATGGTTTTATCCGCCCAGGAGAACACGAGGCGGAGCTGGAACGTCAACGAATGCTGGCCTTCCGGGCGCGTGGGCGCTTCCGCGCGGAGGATGAAGGCGGCCGGGAAAAAAACATGGCTGGAAAGGACTGGTGGAAGGTTTTAATGGCATTAATATGTGATAAATATGGATAGATATGGGAATAATGGTAGGCATAATAATGGTGTTAATATTGATATGGTGAACTTGGCCTAACAACCAATTCTTTATGAGTTTTAAGACGCTTTAAGAGGTGTTCATATCGATGATGCGCAGTTTTTTTGTTTGTAAGGGGATCATAAAGAAGAATATGGGCAGTGAAATATATGGGTGCGTACAACCGACCATATGATTTCATGGGTTTGTGTGAAAGTAGGGGGGACCAATATCAAACATTGAACACGGCAACTTGCACCCATTGAGGGGGGGATAGAATGGAGAATATCATTGGATACAATCGATAAACCAAGAATATATTCCCATAAATTGCAAGTCTAATGGGGAACACGTTGATAAATCAAGACATTAAGATGGTTCAATTCAGGACACAGTGGAATATCATTGGAGGACTTTGGGGATATAGTGGAATACCAACCTTTCTATAATGGGAATATATTATGGGAATATCTCTGGAGATATGGACATATAGCATGTGAGATAGATCCAGCATCACCCATCAATGTGATATGGGTTTGTCTCCAGGTGGGGGACACCCCAAGTCATGGCAATTCAAATTGGGAACATGTTGAGAAACCAAGGTTGTTTATGGTTCAGGAGATGATGACTGTGTAACGGAAGCCAGTTTTTCAGGAATTGCAGCCCTCCGTCTTGTTGGAGATTTCATGACTGGCTAGCAGATTATTCAGAAGATTTGCAGTCTGAGGCTGCTGTAATTCCTTCCATCTCCCAAATGCTCACCAGCTGAAAGGTGAAGAGGGGGCAGAGAAAGGTGTCCGGAAACTGCGGGCTGAGGTGCATCACAGAAACCGCTGGTGCAAACATCTCTTCTAGAGCTGGGATGGACATCCAAGTAGACAGCTGGCTTGCAGCTCATCCAAAAGCCATTGATGGGGTGAAATCACTAGCCATGTCAATATGCCCCCGGCCTCATCTAGCAGTAGTACTTTTGGTTGGATATCTATGAGTGTTTTTTTGGACCCGGTTTGTTGCACCCGCATTATTCGGTGGGATCATTGGACCGACTTGATATATCTGGCAATACGATGGATATGTTTGAGGGGGGAATTGATGATCAATCAGAGGATTCGATCAGATTTTGGCTTCCCGAAAGGTTTCACGCTGAATTTCCATCGCCATCTCTGGGGCAGGTCAGCAAAGAATTGGGCGCCGTGCCTCTTCCAAAGCTCAACGAGGGACAAGCTTCTGGCTTTGCCTGGGGCCGTGTGCCAAAGGACGCGGGATGCGGCGATGTTTCCCTGAGAATTCCAGGTGAATGCACTGTAGGCAACAGTCAAAACTCCATGGGTGGCATCTATTTGCCACGTACTTTGGCACATTTTGGCACATTTATGGACATTTGGATCCTGTTCGGAAAGCCACGAACCTGGCCACAACAAAACACTGCGAGGAGGAAACGGAAGCACCTCGACGTATCTCTCTGCAAGTCCACTCGGAGACTCAGCTTCACGCATGTCAAGATCTTGGGTCTCGGGCCTTTCTTCATGTGTGGCCATGGTTGAGACATGGGTTTCGCACCATCTCCATGACAAGGAAGCTGGCGCTGGGGTTGATCTGCATCCGTCATGGTGGGGGATGGTGGTGGAGTCTTGCCGGCATAGAAATGCCAAGCGCTGCAGAAAACTGGGCTTCGGTCAGAGTCGGGTACACTCAAAATGGATGTGTTATTTTGAAACCAAGACAGACAAAGACCTGCATTTCCCAATCTTGAATTTTGCAAATGGACGATTGGCATCAAATCCGGTTTCGGAGCTTGCTCTAGGCCAAGTTAATATACGTATGGATATGTAATGATATGTATATGTGGAAAGCCCTGGTTCCTCCAGGAAATGACCCTATATTATACTGTAAATGTTTGTTTTTCAAATATGGGGATTGACTGTAGGGTAGCACATTTTTTTCAAGTACTTGCTATTGGTTGATGGGTTCATCGTCGAATTCATATTTGAAATAGTTCAAGACTCCTAGCAGCAATCAAAAGGTATCGTCCCAAACGTCTTCACCACCCGTGATTGTTATCGATGCTTCCTACTGGGGAACTGTCATGAACAACAATCACACTGTAGGACTCTTACCTAGCCTAGGATGGCTTAAAAACTTCTTACTCATACCAACACAGGGACGTTACCTCGATTCGAACATCTCCCCAAAAGCGATCGAGTCGTGGCTGGGTCGAGGATGGCATTGATCCGCAGCCCGGTCAACCCGGACTGCGGCTCCGAGACACCTTGGTGGAGGTGAATGGCACCTCGCTGATGGAGTTGTCAGACCAGGAGCTGGTCGTTGGGAGCTGGGGAGCCATGGGTATCCATTTAATCCCTATTATATAAATGATATAAATGGGGAGCCAAGGAAGAGTTTCCCAACCACATGGTAGGGGATGTAGGGCCTGTAGGGAAATATGATATGAGATAATGGGAAGGTCACTACTAAATATGTTGTGGGAATCCGTGGTTTTGTATAGAGCAACTGAGATATATGGGGATGGGTCAACCCCCATGATACCTTTGGAGATGAGGAATGAATGCCCAGAACAGTGAGCAGAAGGGGATTCAAGGTCTTGGAGGTTACGATCCCTGGTCAGTTTGAAGAACGAAACGTTGCGGAGTCGCCAACAACTGTGGGGATTTGATGGGCTTTTGACAAACACTGATGGTTGTGGCTGACATGGGTGTCATGGGTGCATCCGCCTTCAAAAGTTTAGATACAAACGGCTCTGACAGTGCCAAAACATGTACCTGATGAGTTGGTTGAGCACCTATGATCAGTGAAGAAAACCTTTGAACAATGACCTTGTTTCAAGTTGGATAAGTTGGTCAATTCCTGTCAGTTCCATCCCCTAGCAGCTCTCTACAAACCATGCAGGACTGCGAACAGAGATTCTTGGATCTTTTTGGAGATGGATGCAACGTCAAGGTGGAACCTTTTGTGCAGGCCGGAGCCAGCCCAATGCGGTGTGATTTTGGAGGGTCAGCTACAGGTCGTGCATGCCTTAAGCTCAAGTCCTAGAGGTAAGAGCCATCCATATGGGTCCAAAAGCAAAAAGAACGTGACTTACTTTCCATGCCGTTGATGGTGTCCAGTTTGGTGGGTGACCAGCTCTGCTAAGTTTTTTTCCCGGGTGGGGATAATTTCTATTATATTCTGAGGCTTGGAAGTATGCATATAGAAAGCACAGTAGTAACCACAACATCGATAATACTAGTGAACATTATATCGACAATGATCGCACATTTAATACACATATAATATATAGCACGCGCAACTGGTCCTACCGCCTTGGCCTGTGCATGACTGGGGAACACTCAATGAGAATGATGTAGGGTATTGATTCGTAATTAATCGTAATTATAGATACCAGTAGTACCGCACAAGGCCGTGGCGGAAGTTTCAAAAATAGGAAACCTATAGGAGCGGTTGGTTGTTGTGAATCATGGATGGCAGAGCGAATCCACTGATGGACCGACAGGTGGTTGGAGTTGTGCTTTTTGGTGTGGTTGCAATAGTTGCAGTGGTCACCTGGCCGGTCCCCTCACCCACAACTGCTGGATGTAGTGTGGTGTAGTGCAGCTGTAGTTGTAGTTGTAGTGTAGTGGAGTTGTAGTTTTGGTGTAGTGTTATTAGTGTAGTGTAGTTGCAGTTGCATTTGTGGTGGTGTAATGAGTCTAGTGTAATGTAATGTAATGTAATGTGGGGTAGGGTAGTGTAGCGTAGTGTAGTGTAATTGGGTGTAGTGTGGTGTGGCGTGGTGTGGTGTAGTGTGGTGTAGTGTAGTGTAGCGCCATGCAAGTAGTGTAGTGTAGTGTAATGTAGCGTAGCGTAGTGTAGTGTGTTGTGTAGTGTAGTGTAGTGTGGTGTAATGCAATTAGGTAGTTGTAGTTGTAGTTGTAGTTGTAGATGTAGATGTAGATGTAGATGTAGTTGTTGTCTAGTGTAGTTTTATGTAACGTATTGTAGTTGTAGTTGTAGTTGTAGTTGTAGTTGTAGTTAGTGTAGTGTAGTGTAATGTAGTGTAGTGTAATGTAGTGTAGTGTACTGTAGTGTAGTGGAGTGTAGTGTAGTGTAGTCTTATGTAGTTGTAGTTGCAGTTAGTGTGATGTAGCGTAATGTAGCGTAGTGTAGTGTAACGCCATTTGTGTAGTGTAATGTAATGTAGTGTAGTTGCAGTTGCAGTTGCAGTTGTAGTTGTAGTTGTAGGTGTAGTGCAGTGTCATTCAGTGTAGTGTAGTGGAGTGGAGTGTAGTGTAGTGTAATGTAATTAGTGTAGTGTAGTGTAGCTTAGTGTACATGTAGTATTGTTGTAGTTGTAGTGGTAGTTAGTGTAGTGTAGTGTAGTGGAATGTAGTGTAGCGTAGTGTAGTGTAATGTAGTGTAGTGTAGTAAAATTTGAGTGTAGTGTAGTGGAGTGTAGTGTAGTGAAGTGTTGTGTAGTGTAGTGTAGTGGAGTGTAGTGGACTGTAGTGTAGTGTAGTGGAATGTAGTGTAGTGTAGTGGAATGTAGTGTAGTGTAGTGGAATGTAGTGTAGTGGAATGTAGTGTAGAGCAGTGTAGTGTAGTGTAATTGAGTGTAATTGAGTGTAGTGTAGTGTAGTGGAGTGTAGTGTAGTGTAGTGTAGTGGAATGTAGTGAAGGTGTAGTTGTAGCGTAGTGTCTTGGAGTGTAGTGTGGTGTAATGGTGGTTGTAGTTGAAAATGCTGCAAAGCCCTCACGTTTTGCTCACTTTTGACAAGGTGCACAATCCCTTGCGCCTGCCACGCGAAGCGACATCTGAACCTCCAAAAGTGGTCCGATCCCCTGGTGCTTTTAACAGTTTGACTTCGAAATGTGCTTCGCGCAACAACGGCGCGCACTTTTTTGACATCTCAACTTCTAAAAATGGTCCGAACATGGTGTGCTTTGTACATTTTGACTTGGAAATGTGCTTCGCCACAACGGCGCGCACCTTTTCGACATCTCAACTTCCAAAAGTGGTCCGACAATGGTGTGTTTTGTACATTTTGACTTGGACCTGTGCTTCGTGCCATGACGGCGTGCACTTTTTCGACATCTCAACTTCCAAAAGTGGTCCGAACATGGTGTGTTTTGGAAATGTGCTCGCGCCACAACGGCGTGCGCTTTTTCGACATCTCAATTTCCAAAAGTGGTCCGAACGTGAGGCGTTTTTAGTTTTTTCGCTTGCAAATGTGCTTCGCGCCACAACGGCGTGCAACTTTTCATCTCTCATCTGGCCAGCTGGCTTCGCACCCGCCGCTTTAGCGAGCCTACTTTTCGACCCTCCGGAGCCACAAAACATGGGAAAAACACAGTGTTTCGCGACTTTCCTACCTTTTCGCGCAGCTGCATCTTCTTTCTTCTGACTCTTTCTCTTCTCTGATCTTCTCTCTTCTGCTCTTCTCTCTTCTACTCTTCTCTTCTCTCTGACTCTTCCCATCTCTGCTTTTCATCTGTCCATATTGTCGGAAGCTTCTAAACTTCCTCCGATTATAGCAGTTGCAGTTTTATACCCCAATCATCTGAAATTAAGTTTGAATGATGTGAACTTGAGTGCCACCTATAGCTCTATAGCCCGATCGTATTTTCCGACACTTCACATCAGTTTTGTTTTTTGTTGCCATATACGTTGCCATTCAAATCATGAAATGATCACCCCCACATATTTTTAAACACACCGCTGCAGGTCAGTGGCATTTTAGCACCTCCAGCAGCTGTGGACAAGACGTCTATGCAGGTGGAGGATTTAGCGGAGGATTTAGCTCCCCAAATGATCATTTAAATTATTATTATTTTTTTTTTAATGCGGAGAAACATGGTAATTAAACCAATATAAACCATCACAATTTTTTGGGTAGCCTATTTTCAGATAGACCACTGATTTCCTTTCCATCAGCAGTATTTCGAACGATGAACACAAATGGCCAATGCCAATTTTGGGGGTGCAAGAACCCACAAAACATGAGTCGGAATCGTCAGTCTAGTTTGGCAGGATTTTTCTCACACCCATTCAACAAACAGCTGGAAAAAAATGTCTTAATGATCTTTGATACGGATGATTATGTTTAAATATCTTGAATGTGTATACGATTGCATATTGAAGATCGGAGCGTGGTGACCCAGATCCCTTTTCGCAGATTTCATTCCTAAATCCTTGTTCGTTTGTATACCCAGTCGAATAGGTGACCCTCCCTTCAATGAAGGTGAAATCCTTTTTTAGGGTTATCCATCGTCATATCCCTTGAATACGAGTCAGTATATCTATATATATATAATATAGTTTTCTGCGGTATTGCGGTTGACGTGCAACACAGTGAAACGCTCAGGCTATATAGCTAGACCCTTTTTTCAGAGCGGCAAAGCAAGTATCCAACCTTACCCACAAAAACTTACAAGATGAACCAAAGTATTGTGGATTGTCTTGGAAGGTTTCTGTCTGAATTTTATGGGAAAGTCTCCAAAATCCAAGGGTTTGTCATGGTTTATCATAATTTTCCCTATTATTTGATGGGCGTTTGGGTGTTTCGTTTTGCATTGTAAACCAGCAGAGAACAACGCCCACCGTTTCTCCATCGATCCCAGAGTGATTTGGAGCGCTTCGCAGCGGACTACGGCATAGAGCTGCGAATGGAGGAGAGACATTTCCAACCATGGAATGGTGCTGGTGCATGTTCACTAGGAATTGAGTTGGTTTGGGAAACTAACAGCACGGATTTTTCAATAAGTTGCTACTGAGAATATAAGAAGGTGGAACATAGAACTTGAATTTTTCTCTTCATCTCTGGGATCGTCCCATCCCCTAAATCAGCAATATACGAGCAATTTGTCTCGATTTTCCCACCACAAGTGGGTGCTAAATGGTGCTGGAGCATCATTCAATCTGGATAAAGCAGATGTATCTCTCCCCCGATCTTGACAACCCACTTGGCGCCTAAGTAAAGAGATTCAATTGGGGTCTGAGAAAAGCCGGGGGAAAGAGATCATCAGACAGTAGACGGAAGACCCTGGAATGGGCATTTTCTGCAGTAATCTGCAATAATACCCCATCATCCCCATTCCATTTGTTTGAGGACCTACATAAATTTGATCCATGCCCTGTGGAATGAAGCCACGATGATAAACAATTCGAGCCTGAAAAAACAATTGCTGTTGGTTCATGCCCCAGGCTCTTAGAGGAACATAATATGTTTGTGTAGAAACAACATACACATCATATCCACGAATATTGAATATTCTACAAAGTATGATTTGCTTCCCCCTCGCACTCCAAGCACTCCAAGTTCTCAAACGTTGCATCATGAAGCATGTGACTATCTTCATGTCAGACATTGGACACACGCCTTGTTTCACAGCTGTGCGCAAGATGACGTGCAGGATGCCGGTGGCAACAATGTGCGAGTCCACATGGAAGGCTGTGGAAGTTGTGAGATTTGGATGCCGCTCCAAGTCGTTCCAGAGGTCACACTTGGCTGGATGTATTTTGATCACCGGTGGCAAAGTATCACTAGTGATCACTAGTGTTTCCTGATAGGAAACAGGGTTGAAACAGGACTTCTCATGAAACCAGGAATATGAATAAATAGATTGGGTTTCAGCCCAACAAAGGCTTGGCTTTCAGGGGTCATGACATGATGCGCTTTCCATCTTTGGCTGCAGCTGCTCCAGGTTCCCAGTCTGCTGTGAAATCTAGCAAGCCTGAGTTGCAGAATCTCATGCAGTTTTATTGCCAAGCTAGTTGAGCCTTCCAGGTCGCTCCCGCAGCTGCAAATTCCGCGGAATGCCAGAAGAGCACTGGTCAGAACACATGCATAGAGGAATACATGGATGCAATACATACATGCATGAATGCATGCATGTATGAATGCACCCATACATTCATGCATACAATACATGAACACATACCTTCATGCATACATACATGCATGCGTCCATCCATCAATACATACATACGCACATACTGTACAGTACATAGATAAATACGTACTCGTAAATACACAATTACGTACATTAATATATATATATATACTGTTCATATGTAATATATGTATAGTACATGAATAAATAAATACAATAAGATTTACGTGCAGGTGCATGTGCACATACAGTATACATACTGTATGTATGCTGGTACATACGCGCGCACACACGCATATATATGTATATGTATATGTGGATGTGGATGTGTATTTTTCTATACATGTGAACATGATATTGTAATAATATTACATATAATTACATGTATATATGTATACGTATATGAGTGTGTTTGTACATGTTTGAACAGATAGACATGTATCTATCTACGATATATATATATACATACACATGTTTGATGCACATATATATAATATTCATGTTCACAGATATATATATATATATACACAAAACATATAAACACATGTATTTCAGTGATTTCAGTTGATGTCAGTGCATATGCATATATATATATAGTTATATGTCTATATGTCTTCACACAGACATGAACCGACACACACTCACACACACACATATATATACATATCACTAAACATGTTGTGACTTGGTTCTCTTGCAGCTGATTTTGCAGACTTGGAGGACGTCTCCAGCCTCTGATCCAACTCGCGCCTGGACTTGGTGTGGACCATTGGTAAGACAAAATGGCACTACAACAACTCTGCATCTAGTTGAAATGTGATTGTGCCTCTGGTAGGTCAAACGAACTATGTTTGGAGTACACACAGACACGAACTTGACATTTCATGGGTTCTGAAGCTACACAACTTTCCAGCAGACCGTTGGATTTAGAAGAGAATCTGAGAACCAAATGATCCAAGAGTCGACATCAAACAGGCCTGTGCAAAGTAGCAACGTTGTTTAGATGCTCGATGCTCCTAGCGCATCATCTTTAGCTGAAACAGCCGATACTCCCAGCTCCCACGATGGCCAATCTCACTAATAGCATTGATGACAGGAAAACTTGTATTTGCGCATCTAAGATGTTCCGAATTTAGAAGGAGAAATGCCAGGAAATTTTGTGGAACCTTACATTGGACACCCACAAACACGGTCGTGACTCACTCCATCAGTTTCCCAGAAGAGAAGTTAGAACATGTGCTTTCGTTAGCTTCCTTCAACCCCAATATCGTCAGGCCTTCACTGTGAATGTCGGCAAATGACAAAGCCAAGAAAAGTCCCAGTTGGATGCTTTCCGTTTTGGCCGGACTCGAGTTTGGTTTCACCAACTTCCAGATGATTTCTCAAATGCACGTGTTTTTCCTCCTCCCGGACGGCTATTTGCGCGGCAAACACGTACTGTATAGAGAGCCAGCATGAACATATAATGGAGAACCACAAAACACCAGCACTTTTCATTTTGTGAGACCGAACAGCATTCATCGAACAGAACACTTTCCATCAAAGTACTTTGGAGGTTTTGACCAGAGGTCACAATGTCTTTCCAGTCATGTATGCTAGCTGCCCCGGCGAGCATGGGCAGGTCCTTGGAGCCAGATGGGTGCATGCCATGCTTGGCACCCATGCATTAGAACTTAATGTGAAGTATGCCTGGGTTGTTGGATGCTTGTTTTTGACAACGTGGTGAGCCCAAACCCAAGAATAAATGCAATATAGCGGAATAACCCCCAATTTTTGATCCTTAATACCCACGGATTTCTGTGAAATTGGGGACAATATATTGTTGAGTGTTAGCACATTCCCAATGATTCCTTTGAGTTCCAGGGACCACCAAAACCCCAAGTCATGGCCGTGGTTTCTGCTCCAGGCTGGGACCACATGGCTTCGACCAGTGGCACAGGTGCGAAAGATATGCTCATTATACGTAAGACCGTAATACCTATACATATGTATGGTACCCCCCGGTACTTGCCTTTGACCATCTTATGCTGATATTTGCAATCTGTCTTTAAAACTATTGTTTGACTTGTGTATATATATATATAATACATTATAATACTGTATATGAATATTTACACGTTTATAGTATAAATATATCATATTATGTCATACAATATTTGTCTTTGATGTAGGCCAAAAGCACTGAGCTTTCGTGGAGCACGCAGATTCTCTCGATGCTCCAGGGCGAAGGAGATCGCAGCAGAAATCAGGGGGTTGACTCGGTTGACCATTGATGGAGGATGTAATCAATGAACCACTTGAGGTAATATATAATGGTTATAATATGTGTTAATATATCATGTATATTCATGTACATAGACCCTGAAAATTATACCCTCTAGTAAATTGACATAGACCCTGAAAACAACCATTTTCGAGTGGAAACTCATCTTCCAATCCCTATTTGCCAGGGTCTATGTTAATTTACTGGATGGTATAATTCTTGTTTTTTTGAGGACAACGAATGTACATGAAGTATGAACTGTGAATCGGAATCTGATCACCAAAAACTGGGGGAATTCCTTGATTTAGCCAACCATCCAAACTGGCGAACTCATTGAACATTGGGGATGCAACCATTAAAAAAGCGGAATTTTACAACCAAGAGTCCAAAAATGGTGCTTGGTGGTTGGGAATGTGGTTTTCGATGTTATACCTCTATAGGAATTTGTTTCATGGGGGACTATGGACTGATTGGGTCAAAAGAACTTGTTCAGCATGATTCTGTTCTCATCGAATGGCCGCTTGGATGGAATTGTAATCATTGTAATCTACTCTGATTGTTCGTTTTTTCTTTAAAACTAATTTTGACCCATAGCCGCATGTTGCGTCTTTGGATGCGGTCTACAGTAGATGACTGGTTGAGACGGGTTGCAAAGTGACTCGGAACGATTTTCTGCAGGGCAACCTAGGCCTCTTTGACTTACGGCCATATGAGGAAAACTTGATGATCTAATATGATCTAAATGTATCTCAACCCACAAACCATGGGATTTCTATTGAGTTTGCCCAACATTTCCGGGCCAACTGGTTGTTTTTGAGGACCTTACAGCGTTGGAGACAGCCAAGGAAGTGGCTGAACAGACTCAGCAGTTCGCCCTGGCGGAAGCCATCGATCGAGAGCTTGTGGCCAAATGGCTTGAAGGACCCGCAACTGACGAAACTCACCCCGAAACTGCTGGGGAAAACCATGGAAAACCCTAACATTTTAGACCTTGGATGGTTTCAAACGGTTCAAACCATCATTTAATTCATTTTATGGTTGACAATTGACAAACCATAAAGGTTGAGGTATACGGTATACCATGGTACACCGATTTCTGGGCAAATCCAATTATCAGGGTTTACAAGCCTTCGGCACTGATGTGACATTGCTATGGGCGAGTTTTTGGACGCACCTGGATCACCCAAACGACATAGGTCCATTGGTACCCCATTGGTACCCCATGTCGCCATTTCACCATAGGACAGACCAATGACTTGGACGACTATGAGACCTTCTTCCGTGCAACCGAATCATCTGGAGATCTTGGCTCACGGCACCCGATGCTGGAGGATCAGACCAGATGGCGGGACACCCATTGAGAAGCAATCGAAACCCTGTGCACTTGCACAGAAATCTAAGATTTCTATAGCTTTTCGCATAGGTTTGCAGGATATTGCAGGATTGCTTCGGAAATACCACAGTTTTTAGCGAGTTTGACATCCGCAGGACTGGTTGGCTCCGCTTGAGTCATACGTGCACAATGAACACCGTGTCCGTGAACTCCATGCTCAAGCTGAACGAGAGGCACAGTCTCTGGTGCCCTTGAATAGTTCATGTGAATTCATTATTAATTCCTCCAGGAATATCCAGGAACGCTAGTTTCCAAGTCACAACTTTTTACCATGTTTTTACCATTTTTTACCTCACAATTTTACATATCAAATTAACATATAACTATGACATGATTTTCGGTTCGGTTCCCGCACATCTGCGGTTCGGTTCCTGCGGTTCGTTTTCATTCACCGGTTCCATGACCCCTCGGTTCGTTCCGGTTCGTGTCAATTCGTGTTGATTTTTACAATGTTTTTACCTCACGCATACACGTTTGCCATTGCTTATTTTCTCTTCACTTAATATTGAATCTAGCAAGCCCTCGCTTCGCTCGAAAGCTGTCGCACAACTCGGAATCCATGCCAAGAGTTTTTGCAGTTGAGCTTTCACAGCTTTCGGCGCAAGCGTTCAGCGATCATCAACCAGTTGCCCTCTGTGAAATCGTTCGATGGGCCCTTTGCAGTTGCAGATTTTGGCCCTGTGCGCCATCCAGGTCTGGTCTGTCCGTGCCTGGGCAAAAGAGCACCGGAAATGTCGAAATAGGAGACATATGGAACCATCACAGATTATTATATACAATACATACAGTATATATATAATATATATACATATATATATACATATGTGACTAATTATATATGCACATATATAATAACATATTATATAATATATAATCATATTATAATATATATATATGATACATTGTCATCTATATATTGAACTCATATATAAATAAATTAAACAACTATATATATATAAGTATATATATATACATATGCATGCCGTATCACATATTTTATGTGTAGATACTACTGTATACTTATTGTTTATAAATGTATTAACATATATGTTTTGCATGGAATATGTTCTAGATTCTAGATGACTTGTTCCTTGAACATTATTTGCTTGACTCGCCACTTCAATGAGTGACCCATCTCTGGGGTCAGGTGAAACTTCGGAAGCCATTTGCGTGGGTTCTTGGGGCAAGTGCTGCGACACCAAATGTGATTTGAACGGTGGCCACCAGACCAAGTTCGGATACAGCACCGATGGCGGCAGCTTCGGCAAAGGGGGTGCTTTCAAGATGAACGAGGTGGTCCTGAAGAACTGCGAGGTGGTCAAAGGTGACGTGCAGGACCAGGGAGATGGTGGCCATTGTTGATGCATCATTCATTTGAAAGGGCTGAAAGGGCTAGAAGTGGAAGTCAACAATCTTAGGATATCTGATCTGCTGTAAACTTGGCGCAATGTGAACACATGGAGAGGTCAACTTTCAGCTGGCAGACCCTGCCTCAAAGAGGTCTCCCCACGTTCTGCAGGTTGAACATCCCCCCCTTTTCTCCTGGATTTGCAATCAAAGTTGCACATCTCAGGACCATGATCCCAACTTGGGAGACAGCAAGTTGCGTTTCAAAGACCCCAGCAATCCATACGAATCTCGCCGCAGATGTCAGACAAGTTGTTGATTTCCCCCAAGTCAGAAAGCCGCACTTCGGATGGGCCCATGATCATATCTTGTTGCCTATTTTGAGGTGTAAGGCATTTAAGTTGTACATTTGTCATATCTTTCAGTGCGGCAAACAAACATCTAAAAGCTACCGGTACTTGTTTCAGACATCTTTTTGGCGCTAAAAAACCGTGCCACGAGGTTTGTGTGGAGAGGTGCGAAGTGTACGGAACAAATGGAAGACCTCTAAGAAAAATGGGCACTGGCGACAAAAAGTTTCACGTGAGGCGTGCCGGCGAAGACGCTAAATCAGCTAAGCCACCGAAGCTTGGAACTGTAGTGGTGACAACTGTGATTTTGAAAATCCCTGAAACTGGGACTATATATTATACATAAGGGGGTTGAAGCCACCAGCATGATGCTGGGTCTTGTTTTTTTCCAGAAACTCAACGAGCTTTCTGTTAAGCTCCCAGGAGATGTGTTTACTGGAAGGACGTCTGAGTGATTCACGACAGTTGGGCCGGATTGCGCGAGAAAAATGGGGCCCGCTGCCTTGCCGCTGACACAGCGGCGCACTCGTGCCCCTGATACCTAGATTTGTCCAAAATTCAGCCAAAATCACCACAACGTCATCAAAATTCCAGATGTCCTAGGGGCGGGAAAAATGTGATAGAAATCCTCCTAATTTCAGCTACGAAATGGGGAGGACTTGGGCTACAGTACAGATTGCCAGCCAGGATTTTTTTGTACAAACAGGAGGGGTTGGGCACCCCTTTTTGTATTTGCATTCATTTTGTAGTTGATTCCTTTCAAATCATCATTTTCATTTTGTAGTTGTATATGAGCAACCGTAAAAACCCCGGCAATACTAAATATGTATTCGACGGACATTGGCTTATGGAAATTGTTGGAAATTGTTCAAAACACGAGGTAAGCGATGGGACCTTCCCAAATTAGCGATACCCCTTTTCAAGGTTATATCATCATATTTCTCTAATATCCACATTAGCGATACCCAAATATCACATATTATTCATAGTTCATCACATATATATATATATATATAAATGCAGCAGTTTCCTGCAAGCGATACCCCCCAAGTTTACCATATATCATTATTGTACAAATCGTGTGGTAAGCGATGGGACCTTCCCAAATTTGTGGATGTCCTTTCCGTGAACCTAGGGTTTTCACAATCGCTCATATGTTGAGTTAGTTGAAGCATCCAACAAAAAATCTACAGAATGCCATCTAACAAGGTAACAGATCATGAAACTACAGAATGCCATCTAACAAACTGCACGGGGTCAACACTTGACCCAACTAAATTCAATCATTGACAACTACAAAATGTTCTCAGAATTTATGTTGGTCGGAACTTTGGATGGCATAGGCCCAACTACAAAATGTCATTGGTCATGTTAGCAATTCCGATTTTCAGCTATTTTTTAACTTCAGATGCATTGGATTTTGTAGTGCTGATTTTGAATTATTTTCTGAGCCAGAAAGAGTTATGTTCTTCATTTTGTAGTTGCAAAAAAAGTAACATGCACTGCATTGTGTAGTTGCGCACCCTATGCATTCCGCTTTGCACCTACCAAATGCCATTGCACAACTCGGAATCCATGCCAAGAGTTTTTGCAGTTGAGCTTTCACAGCTTTCGGCGCAAGCGTTCAGCGATCATCAACCAGTTGCCCTCTGTGAAATCGTTCGATGGGCCCTTTGCAGTTGCAGATTTTGGCCCTGTGCGCCATCCAGGTCTGGTCTGTCCGTGCCTGGGCAAAAGAGCACCGGAAATGTCGAAATAGGAGACATATGGAACCATCACAGATTATTATATACAATACATATATATATATATAATATACATATATATATATATATACATATGTGACTAATTATATATGCACATATATAATAACATATTATATAATATATAATCATATTATATATATAATATATATATATGATACATTGTCATCTATATATTGAACTCATATATAAATAAATTAAACAACTATATATATAAGTATATATATATATACATATGCATGCCGTATCACATATTTTATGTGTAGATACTGCTGTATACTTATTGTTTATAAATGTATTAACATATATGATTTGCATGGAATATGTTCTAGATGACTTGTTCCTTGAACATTATTTGCTTGACTCGCCACTTCAATGAGTGACCCATCTCTGGGGTCAGGTGAAACATCGGAAGCCATTTGCGTGGGTTCTTGGGGCAAGTGCTGCGACACCAAATGTGATTTGAACGGTGGCCACCAGACCAAGTTCGGATACAGCACCGATGGCGGCAGCTTCGGCAAAGGGGGTGCTTTCAAGATGAACGAGGTGGTCCTGAAGAACTGCGAGGTGGTCAAAGGTGACGTGCAGGACCAGGGAGATGGTGGCCATTGTTGATGCATCATTCATTTGAAAGGGCTGAAAGGGCTAGAAGTGGAAGTCAACAATCTTAGGATATCTGATCTGCTGTAAACTTGGCGCAATGTGAACACATGGAGAGGTCAACTTTCAGCTGGCAGACCCTGCCTCAAAGAGGTCTCCCCACGTTCTGCAGGTTGAACATCCCCCCCTTTTCTCCTGGATTTGCAATCAAAGTTGCACATCTCAGGACCATGATCCCAACTTGGGAGACAGCAAGTTGCGTTTCAAAGACCCCAGCAATCCATACGAATCTCGTCGCAGATGTCAGACAAGTTGTTGATTTCCCCCAAGTCAGAAAGCCGCACTTCGGATGGGCCCATGATCATATCTTGTTGCCTATTTTGATGTGTAAGGCATTTAAGTTGTACATTTGTCATATCTTTCAGTGCGGCAAACAAACATCTAAAAGCTACTTGTTTCAGACATCTTTTTGGCGCAAAAAAACCGTGCCACGAGGTTTGTGTGGAGAGGTGCGAAGTGTACGGAACAAATGGAAGACCTCTAAGAAAAATGGGCACTGGCGACAAAAAGTTTCACGTGAGGCGTGCCGGCGAAGACGCTAAATCAGCTAAGCCACCGAAGCTTGGAACTGTAGTGGTGACAACTGTGATTTTGAAAATCCCTGAAACTGGGACTATATATTATACATAAGGGGGTTGAAGCCACCAGCATGATGCTGGGTCTTGTTTTTTTCCAGAAACTCAACGAGCTTTCTGTTAAGCTCCCAGGAGATGTGTTTACTGGAAGGACGTCTGAGTGATTCACGACAGTTGGGCCGGATTGCGCGAGAAAAATGGGGCCCGCTGCCTTGCCGCTGACACAGCGGCGCACTCGTGCCCCTGATACCTAGATTTGTCCAAAATTCAGCCAAAATCACCACAACGTCATCAAAATTCCAGATGTCCTAGGGGCGGGAAAAATGTGATAGAATGTGTACATGCAGGAAAGCTGAATTTGGCACTGCATGACAGGGCGTGAAGATCTATGATCTGAAATACGACCGGGCAGCCGAGGTGCCGGAGGGGGGATGGGGCCTCTAATGGCAATTCAACTGGAGAAAATGATGATCAATCACTGGACTGCCATGTTTTCAGACAAAGCCACAAAAAGCCTCCCGAAATTTTCACAGATTTATGGAAAATGACCCATTTGCAATCATTCATTGATGAATTACCTGTTAAGTTATTAGGCATAATGATTTCCCATGGCTATGTCAACTTACGAGAGGGTAATCATGAAATCTAGGGATTTGAAAAACCCCAAAACGAAGATTCACCAACGATTTACCTGCCTTGCTTGCAACACTGTCACGCGTTTTCACTTGGGCATAGGAAGAAAAAGGCTCTGCTAAAAGAGAAAGCCAGCAGGCTGCAATGGAACTCTTGAGTTGAGCCGAAAAGTGACAGGACATGTCAAGATGTTCCAAAAGAATACCATCTAATGTCGCCCTCCCCTTTGCTGCAAGGTTCTACCAGACATCAGCGGGGGTTGCATCCGCATTCTGATCATCTTCTCTCCTGTTGCTTCAACCCATGTTTAGTTGGTGAAACACCTACAATTCTTGCATATTCTTGCTGGCTACAACCAACCGTTCTTGGTAAATCCACATGACTAGAGCCTCCTATCCCTTCGTAAAAACTTGTGACCTTGTGTATTCTTATTCACATTTTTTTGTTGAGGTCGCACCATCATTTTGTTAGCAAAGCTGTAATCTTCCTTGTCAACAGTTTCACCACCTTCATCTTTGCTGGAAATTACCATCATATCTTGGTGAACTTGAAGGTACCATGCTCACAAAATCCACAAATTGAAAGCTGAACATACATGAGAAGACCTTAAATTGTAACCCGCAAAAAGATAGAAATTCATCGAATCCCACTAAAATAGGGAGGGTATGGGAGGGTCATTTATTTATTTTGTTTTTTTCCGTATTTTTTTGATTTCTGGTTCCTAGCTTTGCTCTGCTTCTCGGCTTCTCTGCTTTTCTGCTTCTCTGCTTCTTTGCTTCTCTGCTTTTCTGCTTGCTTTTCTGCTTCTTTGTTTTTCTGCTTCTCTGTTTTCGCTTCTCTGCTTTTGCTTTTCTGCTTTTCCTGCTTCTCTGCTTCTCTGCTTCTCTGCTTCTCTGCTTTGCTGTCTTTTCCTGCTTTTCTGCTTCTTTGTTTCTTTGCTTCTTTGCTTCCCTGCTTCTTTGCTGTTCTGTTTTTTCCTGCTTTCCTGCGCTTTCCTGCTTTTCTGCTTCTTTGCTTCTTTGCTTCCCTGCTTCTTTGTTTCTCTGTTTTTCCCTGCTTTTCTGCATTTCCAGCTTCTCTGCTTCTCTGCTTACCTGCTTTTCTGTGTCTCCCTGTTTTTTTTCATACTGTAGACTGTAGATAAACCTTAAGAACCATCATCTAAATAAACCCTAAATCAGCCCCAAATCAACCATAAACACACCCTAAACCAACCAAAAAAACATTAAAACAAGTCTAAGTAAACCCTAAACATTCCTTAAATAATCTGAAACTATATAATCCTGAATAAGTTCTAAACCAACCCTAAATAGATCCTAAACCAACCTTAAATATATGTTTAACTGAATAAATCTTAAACCAACGCTAAAACCTTAAACCTGAGTAGGTCCTACACCAGCTCTAGATAGATCCTAAACCAAGCCTAAATAAACCTTAAAGCCTTAAAGCCAACCCTAAATACATCCTAAACCAGCCCCAAATAGATGCTATCCCAAGCCTAAATAAATTTTCAACCAACCCTAAATAGTTCTCAAACCAAGCCTAAATAAATCCTAAACCAACCCTTAACAAACCTTAAACCAACCCTTATATAATAGGTCCTAAACGAACTTTAAATCTTAAAACAAACCCACATGATATCAAAACCAACCCTAAATCCATCTTAAACCAAGCCTAAATAAACATCAAAACCAAGCTTAACATGATCCCAAACCAACCCCAAAAAGATCAAAAAAACCCTAAATAGATCTTAAACCAAACCTAAATAAACATCAAAACCAACCCCCACATAAACCCTAAACCAATCGTCAATGGATCTTAAATAAATAGTTCCTAAAAATAAGGTTACGGCGCCAGGTGCGACCCCTCAGAAAACACACTATTTTTTTCCAGGCTCTGTCGACATAGCGTGGTATTTGCAGTGTCTTGCAACTGTCACTGCCAACTTGCGACTTGAAACTGAGTGACCCCCCTAACTCCAAAACCAACCCTTAAAAACCTAAAACGAAACCTAGCAAAAACCCTAAACTAACCTTAAAACTTAAAACATCTTAAAACCAACCCTAAACGAACCCTAGTTGCAAACTACCATGTTACATGAACATTTCGAGCACCAACATGTTGCAAATTCCATCGAAAACTAGAGGTTCGAACTCAAAAATGTTGCAAACACCATTGAAATGGCAGCATCCAACTCCAAAATGCCGCAAATAGCACCATGATTGCCACATATTTTTCAAATCCCTATGATTCAGATATCCCCATGATTGCCACATATTTTTCAATGGTTCATCTCGAAAAAAACCTCCCATGACAGGCTGCTTCCAGCCTCCATCACCGTGGTTTTGTGGCACTGGCGGCCCTGAGCCCCGCGCTGCTGCGCCGCCAGCGCCGCCTCTCTGCGGCCTTGCTGCGCCGTGCGGCGCGGGCGCAGCCGGGGGGAAACCGACGCTTGGATGGAGTGTTGCGGGTAAAGGAGACACTTATGGGCCACTTATGATGATTCAACCAACAAAAACAACATATTTTATGGGATTATATATATATATATGTAATTATGTGTGTATGAAATTATAACCAGTGGATGTATATAAGAGGTTGCCCTATTTGTCTGGAACTGTGTGGCACCAACAAGACTATGGGGATAGAACCAAATAATTGGTAGGATTTGATGGGGATATAATACTTAACATAAGATGTTCAATGGGAATTTAAGCATCCATATGTGGATAGCAACTTGTAATGGGATATACAGATATAGAATGAATAAGGTCTTGGTGAATTTCTTTTATGCATCCAATTGTGAGGGCTACACCTTTATAGATCCCATGGCGGTTTCGCAAAATGGGGGGTATTGTGCCCCAAATCATCTAAAATTAGACCATTTCAGTAGTATTGAAACCAATGGTTTTTGGGGATCGCCCATTTTAAGAACCCCCCATGTGATCCCATGTTTCATTGGTGATTCCCCCATCGTGCAGCTGAACTCAGTCCCCATCTGCTTATTTCTTGTCGCCCTCAGGTGGTGCGAGGCGCTATAGCTTGGGCCGTAGCACCATGGTCCCAGGAACCTTGGAGCTGGCTCAGAACCCTCAGGTATCTCGACGCGTAAAGGGGGAAATGGCTTGCGTGTCTGAAAATGGGTGGTTTGGGCAACAAAACATGGAGATAGAATGGGATATAGATGGATGTATAGATGGATGTATAGATGGATGTATAGATGGATGTATAGATGGATGTATAGATGGATGTATAGATGGATCTATAGATGGATGTAGTATATATGGTCCCGGCCGGCGGCCGGCAACCCCCCCCCAAGCCCCCCCAGCAACCACCCACAGGGGGTGGCCAGCCATCTACCACCATCCGTCAAGATCTCAGATTCTCATATGCTATACTTACATGCTGGCCTCGTGCCACCTATGCACTACATAACAGTAAACCTCCATGCAATGTTCACTACTGCCTATAATATATCCCCATACAATCTATTTACAACGTATTCCTGCCCATAAAGTACCTTTATAGTAGCCATATACTAGCTACTATCAAGATCTCATGTGCTATACATACGTGCTGGCCACGTACTACCTACACACTATCTACATGAAACCTCTATAACACCATACCCATCCCACAGGGGGGGCGTGGGGGTAAGCTACACCCTTCATCACTCTATTTACAGCGGATTGCTGCCCATGAAGTACCTTTATAGTAGCGTAGCCATATACTAGCTACTATCAAGATCTCATGTGCTATACATACGTGCTGGCCACGTACTACCCATACACTATCTACATGATACCTCCATAACACCCCACCCATCCCACAGGGGGGGCAGGGGTAAAGTAAACCCTAGATGGATCATGTACATGCTGGCCACATACGACCTACTTACTGCCTTACAGACTAGTTGTGCCAGTGACACACTACCTAGCCCCCACCGACCCCACAGGGGGGGCGGGGGTAAAGTAGACCCTACATCGATGATTTATATGCTAGGGCCATGTCAACTATATCCGATTCCAACATACAGCGTACATACAGGACCATGACCATGAGGGGGGGGGGTTGCTGGGCTGGACTATATATTTAATATAGAATATGTAACCAACACGATATGATTCCCCAAACAGTGTCCACACTGAGGGGTTCTGATGCTCGGTGTTAAAGGCCGGTGTTAGATCCAGGTACACTTTGTGGCCCCTGGCTTTTCATTGTAAATTCTCGCACAAAAGTTCCTTGTGAGATCTCCGTGTGCATTTCGACCGCGCAGGCTCGCACAAGATGGGCGGCGCGGTCATGGTCTGCGGCATTTCCATTGAATTTTTTTTTTGCTGAAACGGTCCCTTTTGATATGTCCATGTGCATTTTGATTGCGCAGGCTCGCAAAAAACGGTTGTCCCCGTTTGCCTCAGAGGTCCGTGATCTGTGAAGATCTTGACCAAGGTCTTGTGGACATCCTTGCGAGAAGATGTTGTGAAGATCCTGACGACATCCTGTGAAAGGTCTTTGCAGAGGTGCTTGTATGAAATCTCTTGTGAGAGGCTCTTGGAAGGTTCTTGTATCATGAAAGATCTTCCAAGATCCGCTCCAGCACCAGCAGGTCCTTTTATGACGATCTTGTGGAGATCCTGGTGAAATCCTGGTGAATCCTGTGCAGGTCCTTTTTCATTTTCGTGTTGCGTTTACAATGGGCGAAGAAGTTGGGGTGACTTTTCCTGGCAGTTGGGGGGCGTAGTTCCATGGGGGAATGACTGTTGACTGCAACGTTGGGGGACCTTCGCCGGCATTGAGTAAGAGTTCCTTGCAGTGCATGATCTTGCACAGGTGCTTGTGAGAAGATCTTGTGGAGACCCTAGTGAAATGTTGTCAGAGACCTTAGTATGATCTTGTACAGGTCCTTGAAGATTTTGAAGAGGTCCTGGTGAAATACTCTAGGTGTCCTTGCATGATCTCGTACAGGTCCTTGTGAGAAGATCTTGTGGAGATCCTGTTGAAATCCTGCTCAAGAGGTCCTTGCATTAAGATCTTGAAGATGCTATGCGGTGTTCTTTGGGGTTTTCATGGGAAGTTCTTGTATGAAGATCTTCTAACGGTCCTCTATATAGAAGGTCCTTGCTTAACGATCTTTTGAAATTCTCTTAGATGTCCCAGTATGAGGTCATGATGAGTAGACATAGCGTCGCTTCTTGTGCCAAAACAAGTTCCGGCTGCTGCAGTTGCGAAAATGTCTAACCTGATCTGTTACTCTTCCATAGCCACTGTTGCTTGTACCTGGCACATTGGTTTCCTACCCCCCGCACTGTTTGGGGCTTCTTGCCGGTGTAATTTTTGTTGTGTCTGAAATTGGGTTTGCTATACCTTCTATATCACATTTTTCGGTAGGGACAATGATGATCAACCAGTGGATTTTAGGGTACGCCATGTTTAGACACACCCATATTTTTATTGGCACTTTCCACATATTTCCATATATTTCTACTAATGAATTACCCCTGCTTTGGGTAGTGCAACGCAGGAATTACCTAGCTTTGACCCATCCTCAAATACTGGTGGAGTGCTCCTTCGTGTGGTCGATGGTTTGACTTGTCGGCAGATGTCGGCAGCAATTTATGCTTTGTTGCTTCACGAATTGACACTTTGCAGAGTACCTTTGGGTACCAAAAATACTTGGAACCCAAAACATCATGCGTTGATGGTCTTCTGTAGACTCTACTGTAGACTGTCTAGTATGTCAATTTTAGTACGGGTTATGGAAAGCCAGTGGACCAGGGCCCTTCCCCACACACCTGGAGTTTGGGATTTGCAATCTGCAATATTCTAATGCTTGTAATTTGGGATATGCTCACGCTTTTGCAGTCTGGAAATGTGATCTTTTGATGGTGGCTTCAGCATTCCAGCCGATGCTTCTGGCCACCTAGCTATTGAATACACATGAATTTACAAGCCTTCTGTACTTTGAAACAGGATTGCAGGCAACAATGAAGGGATCCAACCTTGGAATCACCGGAGCTTCACAAAAGCTTGATTATTTTCGCAGCAATCATTGAAGGGAATGTGTGTCTGTCTGAAAATAAGGTACCCCAAATTCACTGGTTCATCATCAGTTTCCTTATGACGAGTGCCACGTCTTTGGGCAAATCCCATGTCATGAAACCAGTCAAAGTCATGGTCCACTGTAGGTCTTGGAAGTGCTCAAGGCCTTTTGGGGAAGCGGTTGCACGGTGCAGTGCACCGGTGGCGATGCTTCGTTTCCCGGCGCTCAACAGCAAGATCTCCATGCCGATGTCCCGGTCAAAGAGGTGGCGGACCAGTAACTTGGATCAGATCAAGCCCCACATGGCCCAGTCAAAAATATGGATTTTGACAACTAATGTGTTTGTTATATGGAATTTAATCAGTAAACATCATGGATTTTAAGCATTGACATGGTTGATCGAAGAAAGGCAAACTTCCGACAGTGTGGACAGATGGAAAAGCAGAGATGGGAAGAGTCAGAGAAGAGAAGAGAAGAAGAGAGAAGATCAGAGAAGAGAAAGAGTCAGAAGAAAGAAGATGCAGGTGCGCAAAGAGGTAGAAAAGTTGCGAAACACTATGTTTTTCCAATGTTTTGTGGCTCTGAAGGGTCGAAAAGTAGGCTCGCTAAAGCGGCGGGTGCGGAGCCATGTGGCCAGATGAGAGATGAAAAATTGCATGCCGGTGTGGCGCGAAGCACATGTCCAAGTCAAAATTGCAAAAACACACCAACGTCGGAGCACTTTTGGAAGTTGAGATGTCGAAAAGGTGCACGCCGTTGTGGCGCGAAGCGCATTTCGAAGTCAAAATGCGCAAAGCACCTCAGTGTCGGAACACTTTTGGAAGTTGAGCTGTCGAAAAAGCGCACGCCGTTGTGGCGCGAAGCACATGCTAAGTTAGGATGTGATTTTTTTGGGTGGCAAGCGCAAGGGTTTTGCACCTTGTCAAAAGTAAGTCAAACGTAGGGATTTTTGAGCAGTTGCAAAAACAATGGCAGGCGTCGGGCATTTGAAGAGGATTTGCAGCGGTCATGTTCAGAGGTCAGGGCGCTGATTTTCTGAGAGGGGTTGCATCTTGGAGCATCAGATCTTCAGGGTTGCTAAGATGATTTTGCGTGACAGGTGCAGCACTTCGTATGACCTGGCTTCACCTTTTCGTGGCAGGCGCAGTACTTTTTAGACAGGTGGAATGGAAAAATCACAAAACGCATTAGTACGAGGCCGTTGGCTCCGCACTCAACTTTCCATTTTTAAAGGAAGTCTCAGAGAATTGCTTCGTTTTTGATGTTGTCCGAAGATTGAGAAGGTCTCGCAGAATTGCTTCGTTTTGGATGTTGTCAACTTCGAGAATTGAGGAATTCTCGCAGAATTGCTGTGTTTTTGATGTTGTCAAGTTCACAAATTGAGGAAGTCTTGCAGAATAGCTTCGTTTTCAGGCTTGCAGATAGACAGATAGATAAATAGATAGATAAATAGATAGAAAGATGGCTAGATAGACAGACAGACAGACAGACAGACAGACAGACAGATAGAGAGATAAACAGATAGACAGATAGATAGACTATTGCAACTACAACTTCAGCTACATTTTCAACTACAACTACAACTGCATTTCAACTACAACTAGAACTACAACTGCAACTAGAACTAGAACTACAAATGCAACATTACAACTTCAACAACATCAACTACACTACGGCGACAACTACACTACAACTACAACTACAGCTACAATTACATTGCACTTCGCTACACCACACTACATCCTGCAGTTGTGGGTGAGGCGACCACTGCAACCATTCCAAAAATCACAACCACCTTTCGGTCCATCAGTGGATTCGCTCTGCCATCCATGCATCACAACAACTCACCTACTTCCGCCACCGCTTTGCGTGGTACTACTGGTACATGGGATTTAGATTAGTGGCATGCACCCCCAAGGAAAGAAGATAGGTTTGTGCAGGCATTCTGAAGACCTGGTAGCCTGATGTTGTTAGACAACGGAAATGGGTGAAACATGGAAGAGACAGATGGACATAGCACTTGCTACCGAAGTATTTGAAACATTTTGAAACCACTTTTTAGACTTTTTAGGTATTGGAGTAAACGTGCACAGTGGCTTCCGACTCGACCAGATAGCCAAGTCAGCTCAGGCTATACAGTTACTTTGACCCTGAAAATCCTGAGAGGACAGGGCAGAGTTGCAAGACTTACAATTCTTCACATTGGGGGACCCCGAAATCCACCAAAGTTCAACATTTGACGGTCCACTGATATAGCTTAGCAGGAGAAACATATTGTTTGGTAGTTCCCCGTTTTCAAACATAATTATATATATAATTATATATATAATTATATATATATAATATATATTCCAATGTTTTTATCAATGATACTCCAATTCTAGTTTGATAGTTTGCCGTTATTTTCACTAGTCTATTCCATTGTAGCCCCATTCTTGCTGCTGAAAATTGGTTGAACACCTCCTCTTCAATGGTTACAATATATCCCCCGCAGTTTGAAACTTCATCCCCGCATGATGGATGATTGACATCCCAATTTTCCACGCCAAAGGGTTTATCTCCGACTGTTGTTGAATAGGAAATTTATGGAGCTGCCGGCCCCAGTGGTGAAAGTCTACTTCGCCATGGTGGACATGGATCAGGAAGTGGGACCTCCTCGTTTCCTCCCAGGCACCCATGAACTGACAGCCAAGCAGGACAGATTTTTGGGAAAGGCCACAAGTTCAGAGGTAGTTCAGGGTCGCATAGTAACCTGTGAAGGTTTGCAGTCCTCTAAATTGATTCAACAAATTGGAAGGGAGGAAGAGGGCGACTTCACCTGTTCTTCCCTGGAAGGACGTGCCTCCATTTGACCCTCCAGGCTGCGTTCCTTTGATTTGTCCTGCTGGTACTGCGATCATCATGGACATGCGGGTTTGGCACGGTGGCACAGCGAACAAGTCCAGTGCTGCCCGTCCCATGCTTTCAGTCCATTATGCCGGACCAGATTACTCTGAAGATGTTCTCAAAGATGGCGGCAGCATTCCCTTTTTTGGGACATGCTATTGGTCCTACCATCGTGGATCTTTGGACCAGAGAGGTCTGGAAAGTCTTCCAGCCACTGGCCGAGAATTGTGCAAACACTTGGTGGCTGACGAGACTGTGACCTGCGTGAACTGCAACACACCAAACTTGCGCCCCGGAAGAAGTGCCTTGCGAAGCATCGGTGCCCCAGGGGGACCCTGGTTGTGTTTGAACTGCTGGGCAGCACAAAAAGCAAGCATCATGAGATGATTTCTGTTCGGGAACCCGTTGGATCAAGTACTTCAGCAAGATCTTAAACGCAACTTGACCTGGAAAGCGAGTTGCAGCACCCTCGACATCAGAGGTACAGCAACTCACAGGTCAAACATGGTCAAACAATGCGAGGAACCATCAGCTGCTCAGGCTGGGTTGCGGGAGATGGAGACTAGTTATTAGATTTATTAGGGAGCCGTTTTGCTGGTGGTTTGCTGGCAGATAGAGCTTGATCTCAAGGGGTTGCCAGCCAGAGATGCTACCAGTGCCGGCTTCTGCGGTGCAAGCAAGTCGCTTTGAGCTGCCAGAGAATGTCCAGCATTTGGAGACAAAGATGAACTGGGGCGATTGTGAGTTTGAGCAGATGATGCAAGCTCGAGTCGCGTCACTAATGAAGCAACGTCTTGCGGGACCCTTCCTCTCGCCAAAAGCGTCGCTTGTTTGGTGAGAGTTGTGCTCCAGCCTGAAGCCCTGCAACCAGCATCAGCTGCTCTGCAGACGCTGCAAGAGATTCCGCGTCTCTGCTGGATTTGACGTGCCAAAGTTGGTTTCTGTCAGACATTGGCGCGAACTGTGCTTGATGATTTCCAGTACCTAGTAACCTACATGTCCATATTCTTGTTGCCTCAAAAAGTTGTGTCTGGGAGCGTTTGACCTGACTCTGCAGAGTGATAACGACCCAGTTGGTCAACCTGTGTACATGAGCAAAGCGATTCTGCGTTTGAAGCAGAGTAAGCCTGCAAAAGAACCGACCTAGAAAGGCAGTGCTGGTTGGTTCATAGAAATATGTTGGTGATTTTGTAAGGAGCTGAGTAAGAATGGGTAGACTGAAGCAAAAAACAATGGGAATCACGGTTGGAACGATTGATTCTGCTGTCAAATTCCGATGCGATCCACTGTCCAACCGGCTGCCTTTGATTGGTTTGAAAGAGCCTAGCTACACTTGCGCAATCTTGCGCACATATCAATGACGTAGTTATCTCAAGGTTTTTCTTGACAAATGGGCCTGCGGGTTTCAGTCGAAAACAATTGCATAGATCTGTTCAATTGAAGTTGTTCCACAGTTGCTTCATAGCATGTCCGGGAATAAAACGCTTTTGATAGTTGGGTAGATGCAATTTGCCTCAATCATTTCCTTCACAAATGTATTCCACAACTAGAAGTATCTGCAATGCTGCCTTCCCGGTCCATGGAGAAAGCGCCATGTATCGTCCATGCACCTCAAGTGCACGCTGCACGCGTACCTGCAGTGCGCTCCGTGCATGCCGAAGGCAGTGGATTTTCGGCGCCCAGCAAGACCTCAAGATTCGTGTTGGCGACCGCCCTTGCAGTGCAGACGCGTTCCTTGCAACGGAAGAGGTTGGCCTTATCCGCTCGCGGGGGAGACTTCGCCATTATTCGCTTCCGTATCCCTGGGCTGGATGATCTTACCATGCTGCCGCGGGTGATCACCGGAGTCTGTTTGACCTTGTTGATCTACAACAGAGCAACAACCACAGGTGATGTGGACAATTTTCGCCAGGTCAGTGAAGTCTTAGCCCTCACCTTTTCTGCCCTTGCTTGGTCGATCCCATGGGTTGGTGGACGACTGGAAGAAGCAGCGCGTCGGCAGGTCTCGGCTAAGCCAAGCAGCCGGCAGCCGGGATCCATACAAACTCTGGCCATCAAAAGTGACTTAGCTTCAGATGTGCAAGTTGATATCTCTTGGATAAGCTCAGTTCTACTGAGATTGACCAACGCAGATGGCTTGGTGATTTGGCATGATGGCAAAACCATCTGCAGCCGGGGCATTTTGAAGCGACTGCAAGGCTTCGCTTCGGGGGCTGAATTTGTTCTCAGAGGTTTGGACCAGGCAGCGGTTGCAGGAAAATTGAGCATGTCCCAATTTTGGGGACAGCTCCGCCAATAGATAATGGATCACCAAGAAAACTTGGGATGCGTTACCAACAGTCATTACTCATCGGATCGATTTGGATCTATTTGGTATGTCAAATGGTTTTCTCTTTGAACCTGTTGAATGTGCTTGGATGATGATTTGTTGTCGGGACATTTCCCAGGTTTGGCAACCAGACACCGCCGCCGTGGATGGTTATTGTGCCACCAAACGCGGCCTCGTCAGCTTTCCCAGCCAGCTGCTGCCCGAGCGTGTGCTTCCAGCAGACACTGAGGCGGCAGTGGTGAAACCGCTGCCCGGGGGTGGGCACCTCATCCTGTGGTCCGGAAGACCAAGGGCCTTCGATAAAGAGGCGGATCGTCAATGGGTGGCCAATGCAGCCGCCAAGCTGGGGCTGCTGCTGAATGAAGCTGGAGATGAGCCCTTTGAAGCCACAGAAGAAATGTGTTTTGAAGATGATTTACCCGTGCCACTGGAGGAAAATGAAGATTCGAGTATTAGAGACCCCTTTGCGAGATTCGACACTCAGATACGAATCACTCCGACGATCTTTGGAATGATTGGCCTGGGAGTGTTGATCTTGAATCGACAATCCTTGGTCTTCTCAGAAGCGCCAGTGCCTCAGAAGTGACTTACTGTCGCCGATGGTCATCTTCTGAAGATCGTGCACTAAGGTCAAGGTATGGTGTTGCCATCGCCTAAGTGTGTCATTTGTTTTCCATGTTCATCAAGAACATTTAAGTGCCTGCAGGTGGAGCTGTTCTGTATGATCAACATACGGGTTTGTCCAAAAATGAGCGTAACATAGCGCAACCCCAAAAATGATGATTTAAATCAGGACAATTATGATAATCCGCTGGTATTTTCAGACGAACCCAAACACGACTTCGCTTCTTGGAACCAGCGCTGTGAATTTGAGGATCCAGCGCAGACCCGAGCTGATCTTTGCGCTGGAGGCCTGTGCATAGTGAGGAGACGACTCTTTCAGCTGGGACAGAACAAAAGATATCCACTACCATAGGATTCCTCCTGGCATGCAATGTTCTTTTCGCTAAACACTCTGAAAGAAAACCGCATATTCCATTAGATTAATATATTATCAATATCATTCCTGATGAGGGGTGGCAAATAGAGACTGGCACAAAATATTCATTTTGAAACATTTCGAACTATTGAAATATTGCCCATTAGAGTTGTGGTTTCGATGCTTTAGTTTGTCCAGTCAATTTCCCTCGCCGTGACGTCCACGTGCCAGTCCTTTCGGTGACGCTCCTCCTTCAAGGGCTGGTGTGGATCAGTGAAACGCCCAAGAGTCCAGACATTGAGGAGAGATTTCATGGGGATTTAATGGGGATGTCATGTGGCTATAATATGCTATAATAGCAGATGCAATATCTATAGTCTATAGTCTATAGATGTCTATAGTCTATATATATATATTAATCCTCTGGAAATTCAACAGCTTGCTATAGAAGCTATGGCCCATGCGTAGACAGTTGACCTATTGGACGTGGTGATTGTCCATAGCCATGTTCAATTACAGCCATGTTTGATTGCCATAGGGTATATACAGTGTTTGACCGCGCTGACTGTTTGCTTGGCTGATGTGTTTTGTCGGCTGCATGGACTGTCCATGATTGACATTAACAACAATAATCATGATAATAGTAATCGTCGCGGTCGCCACCGTCATCGTTATCGTTATCCTCACCGTTATCGTCATCGTCCTCTTCATCTTCATTCTGCTCAATTTCTGATCAAATTCTCAGACTTTGTAACCTGGAGAACTTCCTTTCCTAAGCTGGCACTGCACACTCAAGTCAGCATGTGGGTCATGCGCAGGACACTTCAGAATGGGAGGACGCCAAGAACGTGCGGTGCACAGAAGATGCACGTGTTTGCCATTGTTTGTTTGTTTCTTAAGAGTAATAGACCTGTCTCCATTTTCTTGGACAGAAAGTCCTTTGCAAGCTTATTCGGAACCGTGTTTGCCTTGTGACAGTGGTGACGTATGTTTATGTAGACCCAGCTCCCGTGTGTGTACACGAAGCAGCGCGTATAGTACACATGTTTTTGGCTGTACATATTTGCATCCAGACCTGACAGTGTTCCAGCAGCAGGTCTTGTGGGTGGACAAAAGCATCACACAGCGCACCAGTGAGGAGTTGCTCTGGGCTTGGAGTCGAGCTGCCATGCTTCGATGGGAAAATGGGTGTTTGATGAAAGATCATCGAAAACGGGGTTGATGGATGTTGATGGATCCTCATGGGCCTTGTTCCCCATGATGATATATATATATATGTATCCAGATAAATTGCACAGATACTTGCACTTTCAGGATGCAGACTTTGTCACAGTCACAGTGCTGTGCTGGGCTCAAAGTGCCAAAATGGGGGCCAGGTGCTTTCAGTCGAGCGACAAGGGCATCTTCAATGGCCATCTTTTGGAAAGGGAAGTGTGTGATGCAGGCCCAGCTGCCGAAGCGGGGTAGCAAAACCAGAGAGATCCGCAGGTGACCCATGTTCAATGGCAAATTTCATACGGAAAATGATGATTAACCACTATATATATATATATCAGCAGATTTAGGGGTACCTCATGTAAAACCCATTTCCTTGGAGATGACGTCTTTTGTGCTGATTTCACGTCGTTCCTTTGTATGGCACTTCACGAGTAATGTTTTGAACCAGCGATCACTAGCTAATAAAACAGGCATGAGTCCAGGTTGCGCGTGCAAAATACTTGTACTGGAAAAGGAAGGAACTAACAAACCAACATCAATCAGCAAGCAAAATACCTGCTGCGTCCCCTAACAGATCTCCAGGTGGTCTTGATGTTCAACATTTTTGCAGCACTTGAACCTTGGATACCTGTCATGCATCCTCGTTGTTGAATTATATAGTATTCGAAGGGCTGGTTTCCACATTCCTTCTCCTTTGAACCATTATTAGTTGATGACAAACTTACTAAGTCACATACAAGATTGCCAAAAGCACCAGGGTGAACGCCTCCATTTGACCTAGACCTCAAAGTTGTTATGCCATAGACAATCTCACTTGGGTCGCAGCATTGTTCCGCCGTTGTGGCCAGGGAGGACTATTCCAGCCCGGCATGCGACCAGTGCAGAGGGACTTTTGCCAGGAGGCAGGGATAGTAATGTCATGGATGGAACTATAAGGAACTATATATTATACGTGTACATAGTCTTTCTATTTTTATCCTTCCAAAAAAGGATGAAGATGTTCTTCGGAAAAGAAGTATCACCATCACTTTGATGCATTCCTCAGGTCATCACCATGGGAAAAGGACGCTACCTGGCGCAGCTCAACAACTATCCAGCAAAGGACCAACTGAAACCTGAGAGACCTATGGGGATGCGTCTAATTCGAAGTGACCTTTGGAATAGGAATGAACATCCACTTGCCAGCCAAATTTTGGCGTTCAGTAGGCACCCAGATTTTGAACCATAACCAATTTTTCCATCAAGTTTTCTGGTGGCTTGTATAATTTCTGGTCGCTTGTATAGCCAGCAGAGTTGTTGATGAACATTTGCATCGGAGTTCTGACATGCCGGTCTGGGTCTTGGCACGCCAGGAAGAGTTTCTGGACTTTCTGCCCGTAAAAACGCAGGTGTGGCTGCGCCTATATCAGGAATTACTGGTCCTTCCGTGTAAGTTTTGCTGGGACCCTAACAATCAGAGTGTATCCGAAGTCCAGTGGTCGGACAGATTCCCTGAGAACTGCAGGGATTGCTGCTGACCCCGTTGCGGCCTGCCAGAAATGCGCCAGCCGTGCTCAACTTAGTGCCCAGCTCCTTGCCACCTGTGAAGATACAGCGAAATGTGGTTGCTTACCTGGGGTTTACATGGACCCCCTGGAAAACCTCACAGCAGCTGATCCAAACTGTTTGCGACAAATCCGAAATGTAGATTGGCTGAAACTGAGTACACACCTGCAGGCTTCAAGTGGATTCGGTCACAGATGCGGATTCAGGCTGGCCTCATGGTTTTGGGTCTTGATGCGATGCGTGGCTTTGGCAAGGCCATCGGCTTCGTTGCAGATTTGCAGATGCTGTGTTGATTGAACCGTTGCAGCTCTGTTTTTTTTTGCTCTTCTCGTTGTAATGTTTGTTTATTTATCAAAAAGACGGGTTGATTGACAAGTCTCTTTTTCTTTGGACAACGCAACCATCATACAAACTACATCAAACTACACTCTAATTGAAGAGTGTTCCTTGCTTCCAGATCAAGCCTTTGAGGTTGATCAAGCGTGGGCTTCTGCAGTTGGAGAGAAATTGGCAGTTAGCCTCCAAGAAGATTGACTTGTTTCAAAACATAAATATACATGAACATCATGAACGTGAAAATAGCATGAATATATCATCTCATTACATCAGAAATATGCTATGTACCTGGGGAATCCGCTTCGGGAACTTTTTCCGAATTCTCATGAATTTTCAAGATTCGCGGAAATTTAAACATTTTACTGACGTTGGAAAAATTGGCTAACAGAAAAGAAATATCATGGGTTGGCTTTATATATACCTACCATTGAATCGCAGTAATTCCACCGAAATTTCGGCGAATTATATCGATATTTCGGGCAATTTAACCGATGCTTTTTGGAATTTTGAAAAAATATTAATATACAATAAGTATATAAATTTATATTACTAATATTACTAATATTACGATCTGGCTGTACACAGAGCGCGCACGCGCGCAGTTTCCCGAGGCAAATTTCTTAAAAATCTGCCACAATTTTGGGACTTTTCACGAATACAAACTCAGTCTGTGCGAATACAAACTCAGTCTGTACTTCCTGAGCCCCCTGCTCGGAGGTGGAAAATTTACTACTTTTTTGGGAAATTCCAAAATGGAATTTCCCAAAAAAGTAATGTTTTTTGGGAAAATTTCTCTTCTCCCCAGTCAGTGTACCACTAAGCAAATGCAGTACGGTCGGTCAGGGTCGGTCGGGGGTTCGATTCCCACCTGGCCCGCTGTTGCCTTGTAAGTCTCTCAGTTGAGTTTAGAAAAGTGTCTTCTGAATTTGGCGCGCGCGCGGAGTTTCCCGAGGCCAATTTTCCCAAAAATCTGCCACAATTTTGGGCTTTTCACCCCGAGCCCAAATTTTCCCAAAAATCTGCCACAATTTTGGGGCTTTTCACCCCGAGCCCAATTTTCCCAAAAATCTGCCACAATTTTGGGACTTTCACAAATACAAACTTTGGGAACTTTCGTTTTCCATTTCCGTTTTTTTGAATTTACCGCATGCGTCTGTCGCTCTTTTGAACTCACTATAGGGTCCACTGTCGCTCGGTAGGCCTTTCAGTTGCGTTTGACACCGCGTCTTCTGAATTTGGCGCGCGCGGGGAGTTTCCCGAACCCAATTTTCTCAAAATTCTGCCACAATTTTGGGACTTTCACGAACATTACAAACTCAGTCAGCACTTCCTCCTGCGCGGAGGTCGAAAATTTACTACTTTTTTGGGAACTTTCGTTTTGCGTTTCCGTTATTTTGAATTTACCGCATGCATCTATCGCTCTTTTGAATTCACTATAGAATTTGAAAAATGCATATCAGATTTTGGCGAGTGTAACCCAACATTGCTTGGTGCAGCAAGCACCAAAACGTCATGCCCACAGATATTTCAAGCCTGCTGGTCGTGGGTACGAGTGTCTTTTTGGTGCCGCCGACTTTGGATTGGAAAGGCTGCTGATAAAGGCTCCCCAAGCTAGCGGAATAAAGTTGCACAACCAAACCAGTCGCATATTTTCATATGGCTACACTACACATTTAGTCATGTTAATCCTGTGGCGGCGCCCTTGGTGTAGACCGCATGGCTGTTCACTGTTGCGCCCCAAGAAGTGCAAGCCGCAATGTAAAACGGCATGTCCTCAATTTATTACTACTAATATTACGATCTAGCTGTACACAAACCACTTCGGGGAGCAGCTTTCAGTAGCAACTTTCGGGAGCAGCTTTCGGGAGCCGCTTTGCAGAATAGCTTTGGGGAACCGTTTTGGGGTATAGGCTATAGGTTTGAAGAGTCGCAGCTTTGGGGCAATAGCTTTGGACAGCAGCTTTGGGGAGCAGCTTTTGGTAGCAACTTTGGGGCGCAGCTTTAGGGAGCAGCTTTGAAGAACCGCAGCTTTCGGGAGCACCGGGGAGTAGCTTTAAAACGCAACTTTGGGGAGCAGCTTTCGGCAGCAACTTTGGGGAGCAGCTTTCGGGAGCCGCTTGGCAGAATAGCTTTGGGGAACGGGTTTGAAGCATAGGGGCAACCGCTTTGCAGAGGTACTTTGGGAAACAGCTTTGGGAAACAGCTTTGGGAAGCAGCTTCGGGAGAATGGCTTTGGGGAGCCGTTTTGGTGAACAGGTTTGCAGAATCGCAGCTTTGGAGTTTTGGGGACCTTCTTTGGGACGTGGCTTTCGGTAGCAACTTTGAAGAGCAACTGTGGGGAGTAACTTTGCAGCTTTGCAGCAACATTGACGAACAATTGCTTTGAACAACTTTCGGGGGCAGGCTTAGCAGCTGTTCGGAGCAGCTTTGGGCCGGAGCAGCTTTGAGGAGCAGCTTCGCACGGCAGCTTTGAACGGTTTGAATGGGGAGCACCTTTGTGGAACAACTTTAGAACACAACTTTGGGAGCAGCTTTCGGCAGCAACTTTGGGGAGCAGCTTTCGGGAATCGATTTCCAGAATAGCCTTGGAAAACGGGTTTGAAATATAGCCGCTTTCGGGTAGCCATTTTGCAGA